TGGAAAAATTATAACAACCTTGATTTCTGGCTTCTATGGTTCCACTTCTGGTTAACTGTTCTTGTGAACTGAATATGTCAACACAGGATGTGGGTTTCAATGCTTATCTCTCCCTGATATAGGCTCGGTGCTACATGGGGATCTTGAACACCCAAGGTAGTCACTGGTTGACTTAGAAAGACTTTCCATTGGCTTAAACTCATGTCTATGTAGTCTTCTCTGGTGGCTACCCCACAATAGTTATTCTGGGAGATTTTAGTCACTTCATCGTGTCAAAATGATTTCTTTAAAATCATCTGATTGGGTCTTTCAGCACTCGGCAGGCTGAGGCAGGCAGATCTCTGTGAATTCAAGGTCAGCTTGTTCTACAGAGCAAGTTCCAGGACAGCTATGGGCCCAAGTCTTATCTTAGGCTAGTTCTAGCCCTTGGGACAACCATTCCTTTCTCACCTTTGTGTCTGAACTAACATTGTAGCAGGCCCCACACCTTAGAAGACCCCAGACTTTAGCACAACTGACTTCATAAAATTCAGCAGGTAAACAGCACCACCTGCCAAAACAAAACAGAGACCTAATCCATCAAAGTCCATAGCTCTGGGAAGTCTTTAAACATACTAGCCACGGTTTATTTTTTTTGGGGGGGGGGTACTTCTGTAGTTCTACTTCTTGCTAACACTGCTCTTGCTAACTTCAGTGTGTCAGGCCAGAACATGGTTTTGTGCTTAAAAGCTCCCCGTGAGAAGAGCTCAGTGCTACACTCAGACCTGGAATACTCAGTGTAGTTGCTGGTTGACTGATGAAGACTTTTTCTATTGGCTTAAACCTGTGTCCAAGTAGTCTTCTTTGATACTCCACAACATCTTGTGACTAATGGACCTTTTGGAATCTATTAACTGCGTTGACCACTAGCTTCTACCAACCTAAAGCTATGATTGTCATAAGATAGCATCTTGGACCTGTAGAAAAGCTTCCCTCATCTCCCTATAGTTGCCTCTCTTGCGTATTCACTAATGTATTTTAAACTTACTTGATTTATGACTTTCTTTGTTCTGTTGAACTATAAAATTTCAAGCCAGGCGGTGGTGACGCAAAGCTGTCCTTTGTTTACTCTAGGATGGGAGCTGTGGTTTATTTCTTCATTGAAAAAACTCCCACAGTGATGGAGGAAGGTCATTGGATAATAAAGGAACTGCCCTGGCCCATTTTATTGGTTAGAGGTTAGGTAGGTGGGGTAAACAGAACAGAACGCTGGGAGGAAGAGGAAGTGAGCTCAGAGACTCCACAGCTCTGCTCTCCGGAGCAGATGCCTCAGCAGAGACGCCATGCCCCGCTCCCGGGATGAAGCTCCGACCCAGGATGGACTAGGCTAGAATCTCCCTGGTAAGCGCACCTTGGGGTGCTACACACAGATGATTAGAAATGGGCTAAATTAATATGTGAGAATTAGCCTAGAAGAGAATGGGCCAGGCAGTGTTTAAATGAATACAGTTTGTGTGTTGTTATTTCGGGGCATAAGCTAGCTGAGCAGGCAGCCGGGGTGCTGGGGACGCAGCCCCGCCGCTCTTATTACTACACCACAGATTGATTTTTACACATGCGCTGTGCCACAGGTACACAATACATGCACACACACACACGTGCACACACATACACACACACTAAATGTATGTAACTTTTTTTGAGACAGGGAACCACTCTGTAGCACTGGCTGGCCTAGAACTTGCTATATAAACCAGGGTGGCCGGGAACTCATAGGACTCTGCCTGCCTCTCCCTCACCAATTAAAGTATACACCGTCATGTCCGACTTAAATGTACATTTTAAAAACTTAGAAAAACGAAACACTAAAGAACCAAGTTATTCCGGTTGATGTGAGAGATGCATCGCAATTCACATTTATAAAAGAAAGCCTTAACAGATACAAGAAAATGAGATAAGATCCTGCATGCGCTCTGACTATCATGGACTTTACATCCACAACAATAGAAATAACAGAAAGTACGCAAACTCGTGGACACCAAGCTACAGATTTCCCATTCATTAAATAGTTGTGTGTGTGTGTGTGTGTGTGTGTTCAAGTAGGTGCGTGTGCGTGTTGGTGTGGTAGATCAGCAGGCTTAATGTCGTGAAAACGGCCTTCCTACCAAAAGAAACCTATGGATTCATTGAAATTCTCATCAAAACTCCAACATAGTTCTTCACAGAAGTTAAGAAATATCTTAAACTTCATATTGAAACACACATTCACAAATGGAATATCTGAAACAATTCTGAAGAAAAAAGAACTGCTGGAGGTATTAGCTTCCCAGATTTCAAGTTATAGTATGCGGCTATAATAATAAAAGCTAGCGTGGTATTGGCATAAAAACAGGCCTGCTGGTGGAATAGAATGAAGGTCCAGATGTAACTCCAAATTTCTACAGACACCTGATTTTTAACAAAGAGACCAAAAAGAAACTGTATCTTCAAAACAGAAATTGAAGAAGACATCCAAGGAAGGGTAAATAGAACATAGTGTCATAAAGAGGACATTAGAATAAGAGGATTTAATAGAGTGGGGAAGGAGAAGGCAGGGTCCATGTCAGGACGTGGGAAGGGATAACTAACCCTAAAGGCCTTTGGAAAAGCCTTATAGAAATTACTACTGTGGAAGCTTCCTAGAGTACATAGACATATAAATGGAGTTGCTTGTGCCAGCCCTTCCAAAAATAATTCCAACCAAGAGGTTGTGGAGAAATGGTTCTTGTGTGTGGTTGTCTGTCCCACAGTCTCTGGAACATCCACTCATTACCCCCTCTATGTCAGAACTAACGTTCTGTGACTAAGAGATTAAAAAGCAAAACTTTTGAAATCTATTAACTTAGTGGGCTGGTATCTTCCACCAAGTCAAAAGCTAAGAATGTCATCAAGTAACAACTGATGATTCATAGAAAATCTCCCCCCTGCCCCGGTGTAACCCCCTCTCTGACATTCCCATGGATTCATAGAAAATCTCCCCCCCCTGCTGTAATCCCCTCTCTGACGGACCCACGGATCCATAGAAAATCTCCCCCCCCGAACCCCCTCTCTGACGGACCCACAAATTCATAGAAAATCTCCCCCGCGCTATAATCCCCTCTTTGACGGACCCACGGACGCATTTCAAACTTGCCTTGCTTTAATTAATTTTCTTGGGTCTGTAAAACTATAAAATGTCTCAAAACTGCTTCTAGATCAGAACATTCCATTTGAGACCTAAATGTAGATTCCTGGGCCGTGATCATTCATATTTGCTTCAGAATAAACTACATTTTCTATTCCTTTGAGGTAAGAGCTGTTTTTTGTTGTTGTTGGTGGTGGGTTTTTTTTTTTTTTTTTTTTTTTTTTTTTGGTTTTTTGAGACAGGGTTTCTCTGTGGTTTGGAGCCTGTCCTAGAACTAGCTCTTGTAGACCAGGCTGGTCTCGAACTCACAGAGATCTGCCTGCCTCTGCAAAGGCCACCCTTGATTCCTACTATTCTATTTATATTTGTTCCAGACACAGGAGTCTTTATCTCAAGACTGAAGTGAAAAAAACCAAGAGGGACGTGCAATTGTCCTGGCAGCAATGAAAAGATTCTAAGACCCTTGAGGCCCTCTGTTTGGCTCTTAAACTATGGAAAGAACAGACCCCAAGAAATTGGAATTTCCCCAGGAATATCGAGCTGAGGCCTTGTGGGAGCCTGTGACAGAAGGCTGGGACTTTCCTGTGAACTGTGGATAGGGCAGAGTGTGGACTTCTTCCCACCAGGTGGCCTTGTAGAAAGAATTGCATAAACCCTGATAAGTGGATGTACTTGAAAGCCAGGACATGAAGGGAATCACGGGGCTGTCCACATTATCTCTGTTGGCAAAGGCCTAGGAGGAACATTCTTGACTCTTCTCACACGACCGAAGATGATAAGACATAGCACCACGTGTGTTCCCTCGTTCTCCTTGTATTGCTTAAGCTCACTCTAAATGTTGCCTCATGTTTTGCTTGCTTTAATAATAAAGGAGCGAGAAGAGCTTTATGCGCAAGACTTGAGTTCAAATGCTTGGAGTCCCCTGGTTATCCAATGAAGATCTTTGGCACATCTCTTCATCCACTGAAATTTAATCTCGCAGGTCGCTGCCCAGGCGGGTATAAAAGGCCAGACGTTAGGCAGAGTTTTCACACGGTTCTGACGTCACTCTACGCGAGAGACTGAAGTCTAGACGACGATGGTGGTCCAGAACACACCTTTTGCAGGACTGCTTAGTTATACATGCCTCTCGCCTTCCACCGAAACCCAAACCTCACATCAGGACCCAGCATTGGACTTGGGTTGGGCGTGATGGGCCCCTTTCTGTCTTTCCCCAATATTGTTACATTGAATAAACCTCCTTTTCAGCTTCTCATTGTTAGTTGTGTCAGGAATTAGGCTACTGAGTGAGTGAACCCGACTTGTTCGAAGCGAAGGGCCCGGGCGGCAGGGGTTAGGACTGGCGCAGGCAGGGGCAGTGTCCAGGTCCTTGACCTAATAATAAACTGGCAATTTTACAATGCTCCCATTGTTACCAGTACGGCAACTCCAGTGTAAGTAGACACTACTAGTTTTGTTTTGCTTTGTTTTTGTATTCTTACCCCTGTTTGTTTTGTGTTTGTTTGTTTGTTTGTTTGTTTTGAGGCGGATGGTGGTATGTTACTTCCTGAGGAGCATCAGTATGGTTTATCATTCTTAGCACTGAACCGGGAGCATTCAGACTCGATGAACGGCGGTGGGAGGACAGGAAGACAATTCTTATTACAGTACCTAAATCAGTCCCAGTGGGGGCTCAGCAGATTCCCCCGACCCGTACGAACTGCCTAGCTGGTCGGATCAAGCTCCCCCTGAAAAGCGCCGGGATAAAGAACTCTCCAATCCGCCTAGCCCAGAACCCCCGCTGCAGGCTGTTGCTCTCCATCCCAGCAAGGGGCTCGCGCGTCTCCTTTAAGGGCAGCCAAGTTCCCGTGACGTCAGGGCAGGAAGTGTTTGAGGAAGTGGCGCTGGGCTGGCTGCGTGGGGACCCTGAGTTTTCATGTCCTCTGTGGGTGTCGCTGGCGGCCCCGCGGCCCCCGGGGCAGGTGAGTCCCAGGCGAAGGCGGCTCGCGGCCCGTGGAAGGGCTCGCGTGGACGCGCGCTCCGCCTCTTCCCGGGGTCGGTGGCTGTGATCGGTGGGGACGCGACCCGCCAGCGGGCCGGGCCGCAGCAGCAACTTTTATTTATTAACTAAACCGGAGTGCTCCCCTCACCTGGAAGGGCAGCAGCCGCTGACCCACCCTGCTTCGTGAGCTCCTTCTTTTCCTCTCTCTGAACTTGTCCTCTCCTCCTGCTTGCTTCTAGAGGTAGCAGGGCATCAATATGAGCTGGTCACCATCCCTCCCAACCCAGACCTGTGGGGCCTGGGAAATGAAAGAACGACTCGGGACCGGGGGATTTGGAAACGTCATCCGATGGCACAATCAGGTAGGGTCCTGGCCCCGGGGAGAGTGGGTGGGATTTCTTGGTGCTGCTTCTATCAGGGCCGGTGTGAATGGGTGGGCTCCTTCCTACTCTTGGCTAATGGGGCGGCATGGGAGAGTAAGAAAACTGACTGCAAAGGGGTCTGAGAGCTGCAAAACGGTGACTCTCAAAAACCATCTTAACCATGCCACTTAAAAAGAAGAAAAAAAGAGTAAGCTGTCATTCTAGGTATTTCAAATAATATCCTTACTAATATTAGACTGGCATGTAATACAGTACACACTGGTGAATGTTGTAGAATACAGTATAGTGTTAAAAGATGAGAGCAATAAAAATGTTTTAAATAAGTTTAAATTTTAAAATATGTTTAGATAGTTGGTAGTTCCGCGGCCTTTTGTACCGTCTGCACAAAGCACAGAGCTAAGGATGGTGGGTGAAAATGTGCACTGTATAGGCCGCTGAGCGATTTGGATTAATTTCTTTTTGGATCTGATTATATTCTCATTATTTTAGTCCATATGTGTTTGACATATGTTAAATTTTTTTGTTCTTCCAAATATTTTGGTTTGGGCTAGTGGTTTAAGTACACTGAAATTCTTTGCAGGACTCTCTTTAATTTACCGAATGAGAGTTATTTAATGCATTTTGGATAGTTAGTTCATCGTAATGCCTGAAAAGTACATGTCACCTGTGATATTTCTGTAGCTCCATCCCTCCTTCTGCAGTAGATCACTTACTTACCTCAGGGTTGCTGAGTAACAGACAGGGTGTGTAATGTTGTATTTGGGGGTCACAACCTGTACCCTAAGCCAGGTGCTGCCACCCATCTTCAACAAGCCAATTAAAAGAGTCAAATTAATAGTGGGGAGTCAATGTAGTCACCTTGGGAGGAGGGACAGAGAGACCCAGCAAACACACAAGTCTGTCTTCAGGATCCTGACTGGGCTTAGGGTTTAAACAGAAGATCAAGGCTATGTGCATCAGAGCAGCCCGGTGGCCCAGCTTAGCACTGACCCATGTTGTCATCCTCTAAGATTTCTGAGAGTTCATTACAAACCTTTCTCCAGAAGACAAATTCCCCTTCTGGGTGGTACCCTTTCTTCTCCCAACCTGAAATTCCTGGGGAAATTCCCATCTCTTTGGGGTTCAGTGTTTGAAGGTGTCTCTTTCATTTATATTTTCATTCTTCCTGGACAGTTACAGGACCTTCTGATAGACCCTGGAGGGGCTCTCCAGAAGTGTATTTTTATTTTTATTTAATTTTTTTTAGGATTCTAGTCTTGGGCAACCCTTGAGAAACATAACCAAAATTAGAAGCCACCCTTCTAGGGAATCAATCCTTCCTGGACAGCTATAATTAAAGTCTTGCCTCGCAATTGAGCAGTCCAGGTGAGACACTAGCCTGGCTGATGGCGGTGATGACAGGGAGAAGTGGGCAAATGTAAGAGCTATCTAGGAGTAGCGTGAACAGGACTCGGTGGGATAGAGGGCACAGGGGTCAGAGTTGGGGAGGAGCCCAGCTGAAGTGGTGCTGTCTGAAGGACCTGCCTGCGTCGTCTAAAGTCCTCTGCCATCTTCATGGGCTGATCCACAGGAAAAGCCAGGGGGCTGCTTTGGATGCGCAGACGCGATCTTTGGTCCATATTTGAGATCAGATGATGCAGCGTGTTTTCCTGTGGTTGCGCCTCTGTCCGAAGCCTCTTGAAGAATGCATCTAAGATGTGGTAGCCGCACTTGGCATCCAGCATCTTCTTGCTACTTCGTAGGCTTTCTCCTGTCTATACACAAGAGAATGCACGTAGCTATTATAGAGAAGTGCTGCCTAAGAACCGGGCTCATGGCTGCAAACCTATTGCATGCCAGCCTCAGGCCAGGTGTCTTCTGTGCGGGTTTTGTTTGCATTACTCTGAGCTGTGTGCCTTATCTGACATGCTTTACTTCCAGGGTCAACAGCTCTAATTCCATTTCATAGCCCAGGAAACAGAAGCACTGGGGAGTTAGGTAATATCCCAAAAGAGGACATACTGTTAACATGTACATCTATTTAGATCCAGACCACATACTCCACAGTGGCTTCTGCAGGTTGGAACTAGCATTTAGGACACGCCCAGCATATTCCTAGTTATTTCGGAGGTACTAGTTGGTTCTTTACAATCAATCCAAACCATTTTGAAGTACTAAGGAAAAACTAAGGGATACCCAAATCTGTATTCCCCATTGAAAAAGAGCAGTGTAGCAACACCCCTCCCCCAATTCCCTTGATTCCTGGATCCCCCACAGTGTGAGCTTGACAGTTTTTGCTGCATAGGAATGCTTCTAAATCTCCTGCTCAGAGCCCAGCACAAACTGTGCCGGTTCAGGTAGGCTATTGTTTTCAGAAGACCTTGAGATATATATAGAGAGAGGAAAAAGATCCAACTCCAGGGACCTCAGCCTGCAGTTCCTTTTGAGGGTAGGCAGGGGAAGGAGCCACACATTCTCATATTCACACAGAGGTTGGTTGGAATTCTGACTCACTTGCCACAACCTCTGGTGTGCGTTAGGGGTCCTCAGCCTGACTGCAAAGACGTGAGGCAAATGCCCTGTGGAAATGTTGCAGGGTCCTTTGCAAATGTTACATTGTCCTGTATGTAGGCTTTCAGGGGAAGGAGGCTAGCAAGTCTGGGGGACCCGTGTGAAGATTACAGGAAGTAGTGAACTGGCTGGCTGTCAGAAGGCAAAGTGTTATCAGTTATTCTTCCTACAAAGCGGTGCTAGTCTTTACTGATAAGGCTAAGATCACTTCCGTCTGCCTTTGTGTTTTAATGTGTGATCTTGGAACTCAGGTCTTTAATGGGCGTGGCCCTGAACTCCTGCAGACAAATAAAGAGAAGACGTCATCCTTGGTTAAGTCTACTTACACTGAATGAATTCTTAGAAATATGACTGAGTCTAGATTTAAGTCTCATGTGTGAAAGTAATAACAACTACTTACTGCTTATCAAGAATGTCATTTGTCAGCCAGGCATGGTGGCACGCATCGTTAACCCTAGCACTCACAACACACGGGACAGAGGCAGGCGGATCATTGTAAGTTTGAGGCCAGCCTGGCTTACACAGTGAGTTCCAGCACAGCCAGAGCTATATAGTGAGACACTATCTAAAAGCAAAATAAGCCGTGCTAGCTGCGCCAGGTGCTGTGTCCATATTCTCTTGCTTGCTTGGTAGCAAGGGAAGACTTTGAGGAAATGGAACTTCGTCAGGTTCTTGAGAGGAAGTGGACTTTAGCTGGCTTGTCAGGAAAAGAGACGATTACATGGGTAGAGCATCATCTAAGGAAATGATAGTTTCATGCTCTGCTCAAGGCTGCCTGAGGATCGCACCCTGCATTTCATTTTAATTGGCATCCCTGGAAGGGTCAAGTTTTTTCTCATCTGTGGATAAAGAGCCAGAGGTCTGACGGACTCAGTGCTGCGTATTTAGTTGCTCAAGGAGGCGATAATGCATTTGTCCCTTGAGTCTGTTCCTGACGTCTGTGGGAGAGATTGGAGGCCACTGTGTGGCTTTGTGTCTGCCTTGCAGGAAGACTGAGGAGTTGTGGCCCTTTATCATAGGGAAAGGTGTCTGTGCCACTTGGCAAGTCCAAGATAAAGATGCATCTAGACTTCTTTTTTTAGAAAAGTATCTATTTTATTGTTAGAGATTATAATATAATTATATCATTTCCGTTTCCTTTCCTTTCCTCCCAACAAACCCTCCCATATACTCCCCTTACTGTCTTTCAAATTCATGGCCCCCTTATCATTAATTATTGTTATATGCCTACATGCATATTGATATACATGTGTGTTTATAAATACAACCTGCTCAGTCTGTATAATGTGATATATATATATATCTATCTCTTCAGGGCTAACAATCAGTGTTTTCCCCCTGGGGAAGACACTTGCTTCCACTCTCAGTATTCCTTTGTTGCCTATAGTTATTTATGTAGGCTTCAGGCCTCGTAGGGTTTTCCCTGTCCATGTTTAGGCAGTCATGTTAGTGAGACTTTGTGGGTGTGGCTCCTGATATTATTATGTGATGAGTCTCATAGCAAGCCCCCCATTCTGCCTCTTATAGTCTTTCCCCCTCTTCTGAAATGATCCCTGAGCCTTAGGTACAGGAGTTGTTGAATGTATCCCAGGCCTCTGCTTTCCAGTGCATATTTGAGAAGTTCGTACGGTGTACTTTGATCACATTCAACTCCTCTCTCCTGACTCCTCCCAGCTCTCTCCCACTTCCCTAACCATCTAGCTTTGTGTCTTTTAAACCATCCGGTCTAATGTACGCTGCATCTCACTGAGGTGTGGTTGCCACCACAGAACACACCCTTACAGAGAACTGATTCTGCCTCTCTCAGCATCTATACACTGCCAATAACTAGGGGGGAGACTTTCTGCCTACCTCCCTCTCCGTGCTTGGATATTCCCTGGCTGAGCCTGTGCGTGCTTCATACTGCTGTGAGTCCATACGTGAACACCTTCCTTGTCCTGTGTGTGCTTCATACTGCTGGGAGTCCATACATGAACACCTTCCTTGTCCTGTGTGTGCTTCATACTGCTGGGAGTTCATATATGAACGCCCTCCTTGTCCTGTGTGTGCTGTCACACTACTGGGAGTTCATACATGAAATGGCCCTCCTTGTCCTGTGTGTGCTTCATACTGCTGGGAGTCCATACATGAACACCTTCCTTGTCCTGTGTGTGCTTCATACTGCTGTGAGTCCATACGTGAACACCTTCCTTGTCCTGTGCGTGCTTCATACTGCTGTGAGTCCATACGTGAACACCTTCCTTGTCCTGTGCGTGCTTCATACTGCTGGGAGTTCATACGTGAACGCCTTCCTTGTCCTGTGTGTGCTTCATACTGCTGTGAGTCCATACATGAACACCTTCCTTGTCCTGTGTGTGCTGTCACACTGCTGGGAGTTCATACATGAAACGGCCCTCCTTGGTCCTGAAAATACTCTTTTGTTGTAGTCTCTGGCTCTTACAGTCTTTCCAGGATGACTCCTGAGTTTAGGGAAGAGGGATGTAAATGTCTCATTTAGGGCTGAGCATTTCAGGCTCTTGATGTTGATCAGCTGTGGACCTTTAACTGCCATTCACTGCATGTGGAAACTTCTCTGATGAGATTGAACAACACCCAGCACACCGCTCTGGGTCTCCAGGACCCGTGGTAGCTAGTGCCTCCGTACCAACTGACTCTCCAGCCTAGGTACCATCCATGGGCTCTTTCTGGGCTCAATTTCACACCATTTTCCCCCCTGAAACATTGATCTTGGGCAGGATCTGACTTCCGACTATATCCCGATCACACTGTTGCTACTTGGGTGGTTGTAAGTGATTGAGCTCCCTGGAATGAAGTTCTAAGGGAACTTCTGCACTTCCTGTGAGTTTCCCCTGGATTGTTAGGAGGCTAACTACAGGGCGCAGGGTGACCCTTCTGTTTTCTTTATAGACTGGCCTTCTAGCTCCCTTTGTGCAGTCCCCTTCTGGTGGCTGCCAGCATCTTGAACATGTCTTTCCTTACCCCCCACCCTCTTCAGACTTTATAATACACGGTCATACACAAGGTTTGTGTTTTTGTGTAAAAGGCAAAAAACAGGCCTTCAAAAATCAGCTATGTTCAATACAGCCAATACGATTGGCCCTTTCCCTTTTATTGAGAATATAGACAATTTTTAAATTGTATTCTATTTAATGAGTCTGCTTACTAGCAAGTTGGAGAAATTCCTAATTTGGTTTCTGTTGCTATAATAGCCACTATGACCAAAATCAACTTGGGGAAGAAAGGGTTTATTTGGCTTACAGGCCCTTCATGTAAAGAAGCCAAGGCAGGAACCTGGAGGCAGGAACTGAAGCAGAGACCATGGAGAAATGCTGCTTACTATCTTGCTTTCTGTAGCTTGCTCAGCCTTTCTATAAAGCCCAGGACCACCTGTCTATGGGGCAACACCATTCACAGTGGGCTGGGCCCTCCCACATCAATCATTAATCAAGAAAATACCCCACAGGCTTCGCTGTAGGCAATTAGATGGGGTCAGTTTTTCGATTAAGGTTCCCAGATGATTCACGCTTATATCAAATTGACAAAACAGAAGAAATTTGAATCTAAACACTAATAGGAAGTAAAACTGAAAACTAAGTTCCAGTCAGTTTGAGACAAATTGGGGACTCATAACCTTGAGGTATGGCTTGTCCAAGCTGTGGCTTCTGAGAATGTACGCCAACTAGAGAAACGCGTTCCTAACATGGCCTCTCACTCCTGAAGACCACAGATGGACTTTGCCCTCGGTTCGACTGTGAGCCACGGTGATTGATTCAGCATCAGTAGGAGCTACAGTATAAAAAGGAAGCCAGCTCGTCAGAGAGAGCCTCGGAATCCATGCTTACAATCAGGATCTTTAACAAAGAAAAGGAAAGAGGGATTCAGGGGCAGTTAATATACCTCCTGAGGGCCGGCCGGAGGGGCTGTTGAAGTCACCGAAGTGGATCGTAGCTGCAGCACAAACGCACTACAGAAATGCATCTCACTTCTTTAAGAAGTCTGAAAGACCTTTGAGAAGGTCTGTCTAAAGTTATACGTGTATGACTCGGTTTACATGAAATGTCAAATTATGAAGTCCATGCAAGCAGAAAAGAGATCGGTATTGTCTAGGGGTGAGAGGGACTCTGGGGAAGATGGGAAGTGGCTCCTATAGTGAGTGTGGGGTTTGTGGGGAGGGACCCTGCTCCAGCATTGTGGCTTTGGTTGTATACTTAGAACATACCAGAAAACTAGGCATGGAAGTAAGTGCCTCTTGGACACCATAAGCCCTAGTTGTGGAGTCAAAACAGATCTGAGACTGTTTTAGACATTTTGTAATATTTGTGCTCTGGCATCAGAGTACTAATGGGACCAATCTCATTTCTGAAGTTTTCAGCCTTCGCCACAATTTTAGGGTTGATTTATTGATTGGTGATCACATTAGATGACTGCCCATTGTGTCTGGAGAGTTCCATTTTCCTTCCATTACCAGGTAGGCCCAGGCCCTTGCAGGAGTTTTGGCCATTTGGATAAATATGAGGCAAGTTGGATCCTAATGACTTGGGCACTAGCCTCTTGGGACACTGGGAAGTCTTGCCACGGTCTTCTTGTCATTTCCAGTCCCACATTCATTACCTCACAGGGCCAACAGTCTAAGCTGTGTTGACCGTGGCTGATTTTGAAGGTCTTTAGAGGTTTCAGTCCTTCACCTTCTGTATGTAGAAGCAGAAATCTTGTTCTGTATGGAGAATAACCCTCCATCAGTGTTGAATGAGTGAGGTTTTTTAAGTGTGTAGCAAGCAAAACTGAAAGAACAAATAGAAATATCATAGAGGTAGATAACAGAACACCATCAAATTGGGCGCTTAGAACGTTCAGAGAGAACATTCCAGAGTAGTCCTTGGCAGAGAATAGTAAAGCATCCTCAGGTAGGTGCTTGCATCAGCCGTCAGACATCCACTGGTAAGCCCATGCTGAAGCTCTCGTGCTTGGGTTCCCAGATGAGAGATTTCCAGGCAGGATAAACTTCTGCCTTCCTGTCCCCACTGTAGACGTTTTTATACTGTGCAGTATTAAATGGAGAGTCTTTGTAGCTCTTCTCAGTGAACTGGCTGGTGTCACTGTGAATAGGGAGTCTAATAACTACTGTCCTTCAGCCTTGCTTGAAGCTGCTACGTTTGACTCTGGGACACCTCACCCCAGGGCTTCTTTCTGCTGCTGCTGCTGCCACTGCCGCCAAAACCACAGGCTCAGCACTCTTCCATCCTTCATGTTCCCCTGGACTATATACAGCAAAGAGACGTCTGTTAGCCTCAGGAATCAGTCACCCCGCTAAGTCACAAAATACTGATTTTTCCATTGAAGAAACCACAGTGAGGTTGAGAATGTTGTAGTGATATTTTATTTGTATTTTAATAAATAAAGCTTGCCTGAAGATCAGAATGCAAAACTAAGGCCCTAGAGGCCAGGGAGTGGTGGCACACACCTTTAACCTCAGTACTCGGGGGATGAATGCAGGGGGATCTCTGTGGGTTCAAGGCTACCCTGGACTGCACAAGATCTAGAAAGGGATCCAGGTGGTGGTGGCTCTCACCTTTAAGCCCAGTGTTTGGGAGTCACACACCTTTAATCTCAGCACTAGGGAGGTGGAGACAAGAGTGATATGGCCGGGCAGAGGAATATAAAGGAGAAGAGACAGAAACTCACTGGAGTCTTTAGTCTGAGGACTTGTGGAGACAGAATCTTGCCCTTTGGTCTGAAGATCTGGTAGAGGTAAACGGTCTCTCTAGTGGTTGACTGCTTTGCTTTTCTGATCTTCTCGAACCCCAATATCTGTCTCTAAGTTTTTATTATTTGTGCTACAGAACGTAGTTCAGTTGGTGGAACGCTTGCCCTGTGTTCACAAAGCCCTGGGTTTGATCCCCAGCACATCTAAACTTGGCATGGTGGTACGTGTGCACCTGTAATCCCAGCACTTGGGAGGGGGAACCGGGAGGATCAGAAATCCGATGTCATCCTTGTAGCCATAGTGATTATCAGCCTTGACTTCACTAGACCATTCTAAAGTAAAGAAGTATGTCAATTAACAATGAAGCCGAGCTTCTGAAGAGTATATGCGTCATGCTGAGAACTGTCCTCCTGTAGAGTTGGAGGATACCCTCTATGCGTCCTCATCTTCATTTCAGCTTTGAATAGTGGCAGGCCAGTGTTCCTGTTTCTTAAGTAAAGACACAGTCTCTGCATAGCTGGTGAAAGAAGGTGGAGTTTGAGCTGTCCTGTGTCCTACTGACTACCCTATACTCGTCTCTCAAGAGAAAAACTCTTGCACAAAAGCATGGAGATATCCACTGTGCCAATGTCAAGTTGAATCACAGTCACCAGCAATGCTGTATGGCTTAACCTAATATGGCAATGGTTGGGGTATGGAGAGAGATGTCGTCCCTGGACAGGAATTTGCTACAGAGCTTTTGTGGAAGACAGAGGGTCAGAGCAAGGCCTGAAGGATCTGTGTTCCCTGGATGGGCAGAGGACACAGGAGATGAGCAAGTTGCAATGTGGGGACGGTAAAGAGAGCAGCCAGACGGTCCAGGTGTTCCTTAGGCTACCTGCGTGGCTGGCAGGGCTCTGTGGGGGTCTTCTGTTTGGTCGTTAATTGTTCTGATGCCCAGTGTGCCCTTTCTGTAGGCGACAGGAGAACAGATTGCCATCAAGCAGTGCCGACAGGAGCTCAGCCCGAAGAACAGAGACCGCTGGTGCCTGGAGATCCAGATCATGAGACGGTGAGGACCTGCGCCCTTATCTGGGGAAGCCACTTCCACAACCCTGTGACGCTGGAATGAAAACCACAGCATGCTCTCCCTGCCATGTCTAGAAAAGAACCCTAAGTCTCTTCCATCAGGACACTGCCAGGCTATCCAGACAGGCGACTGTCCTCAGGGCTTCTAAAGGAGTAGCACTTAAACACTACATTGAGTTTGTGGTCAGGCCTGTTACATTAAACTTAAGATAGCTGTCATAGCTAAGCATGGTGTTGTGCTCCTATAGGCCCAGCAACTTGGGAGGCTAGAGACAGGAGGAATAGTTGAGCTCAGGAATTTGAGACCAGCATGGGCAACATGAGACACTGTCAAAAATTATATAAGTCAATCGTGATAAGTTTTTATTTTTCAGCAAAAATATCCTTGTCTTCCCTATGCTTCTAATTCCAGAGTGGCATCTGACCCTCTGCTGCTGTTTGCCCTCTGTGGATACCCACACAGTGTGGGGACAGGATCTTTCTGTCCTGGGTGGATGCTCTCCTCCCACTGCTGTGACCTGTAGGTGAGCGCTGTAAGAGTTAGCTTGAAACAACCAAGAAGATGCTCCCTCTGCTCACTTCTTTCGTTTCTTTAAATGACTTGATTTTTACACGTATGAGTCTTGCCTGCATTTGGATACCACGCGCATGCTTGGTGCTGAGGAGGCCAAAAGTGGAGTTGGACCTTCTGGGACTGGAGTTCCAAGACGGTTGATGGTTGACGGTTGTCCTCCAATATGCGGGTGCTGGAACTCAAGCCCAGGTCCTCTGGAAGAGCCCAGTCTTAACTGCTGAGTCATCTCTCCAGTCCTCTGCTCCTTTCTTAAAAAGCAGAGAGAGAGAGAGAGAGAGAGAGAGAGAGAGAGAGCGCGAGAGCAGTTGCCTCCCTCCTTGAATACCCACGTGCATGCTCCCATCACCTGTCCCCTTAAATGGCGTAAGGTCCCTATCGTCACCTGTTAGAAGCAGCCTTGCAGCACAATGAAAACTTGAATCGGACACTTTAAGAACAATGAAACGATACATGATATGCTTATAGGATATTTGAGTTTTCAGGGCTGAGGAAGGCTGAGTTAACATGTTAACTTAGTAAACTACTCCTGTTTAGTTCCCAAGGGGACTGGTTATTCTGTGCCTTTGTTGGAAGCTGAGATATGGAACAAGGGGGATGGATCTGAGCTGAAGCTCAAATGCTTATTGCTTTCCCCTCTTTCTAGGCTGAACCATCCCAATGTTGTGGCTGCGCGGGATGTCCCCGAGGGGATGCAGAACTTGGCACCCAATGATTTGCCTCTGTTGGCCATGGAGTACTGCCAAGGAGGAGATCTCCGAAGAGTGAGTCTTCCGGGGTTGTGGGATTTAGGTCCATGTCAGCTGGGACGCTGGGAGGGGAGAAACGGAGAGACCATTCACCATCATCCATTCACCATCATCCAGCAAGCTCAAGCAGTCAGTGGACTGACCGCACCTATGCGAAGACCCTCTTCTATGCCTTCTTTGGGGTGGTTCCCATAAGTGTAAATCAGAAGGCTTAGTCAAAAGTGCCTGCAAGAAAGCCAAAGATGAGCTGTGTCACGTGATCACTAATGTGACAAGGAAAACTTGCCATCAGACCTGGACCAGGGAAGCAAGAGGGAAGTCACAACACAGACTCTTCCCCCTTTGATATGTTAGAGCCACCACAAGCTTTTGGGATCGGTGTCACTGCTGTCCAATGGGGAGAGACTTTCTTCACAGACGTGACAGTGTTGCACAGAATCACGGAGGATGGGAGGGAGTCTTAGCTTGGTCATCGGAGATCAGGGCCGCGGTTCCAGGTCCTTCCGTCTCACCTGTGGGGTTTCCACTTTCCTGCTCGCTGTCCTGCCTTCTCCACTCCAAAGCCACACTGGACAGAGGGCAGTGGCAGTTCTCCCGGTTCACAGGGACAGTTCTGTGTGCCACTTAAATACTCCTTATGCTTTTATAGGGTGCCTGGTTTATGGTTTCAGCATATTGGTACCTACATAGAATTCCTGCACTGCAGGTAGATGCCGTGGCCCAGAGACGTTCCTTAGATAAATCACCAGCTGTAGACCATGGCTGTGGTGGAACTCCCTGTCTGTAAACCTGGGTCAGGTCATTTAGTGTGGGGGAAAAAATTAGCTCCAAGTGAGTTGTTTTCAAATCTACTCCGTCTATAACTCCATTCAGCTCCTTACTATAAAGACTCACAGCGTGGGGCCCAGACGCTCTTTCAGGGCTCCTTTTCCATAGCAGTTCCCCTGACATACGTCATGTGCTGTGGCCTTTGTTCTATGGGGCCTTTCCCCTTCATAAAAGAAAAGTTTCTGTGAGTGAGTCTCCCGGTAGGGGTGGGAAGTCCTGACGGAGTTTAGCTAGGGACAGGATATGACAACACCGTGATGCTCCTGTTTCCTGACCTTGCCGTTGGGTGGGAAGGCAGCCATGCTGTTGTAAGCTGTCAGAATCAAGTGACAAGTTGGTCAGGCTGGAGAGAGAAGTGGGTGGGGGTGACCAGGTGACTGGGTGCTCAGAAGCACAGTGGAGATGCACACCCGCCCCATCGGGCAGCAGAGACCCCGTAAGGTGAGGGAAAGGGGATGGAGATCTCAGGGTGCCTCTTGGCCTGGACTTCAGGGTGATCTAGGGAGAGGCAGGATGTGGTTGCTTAAGAGGACCTCTGTCCTTGCTGTCGCTTGAAATGGCACTGGGGGAGAGTCCTGCTGCCCAGGGCTTTTATGATCTTGTTCTCTTCATTTCCTAAATAAGGTAACTTGTCTTTTACTTCTTTTTAAAACTTAAAAAAAAAGAGTGGGCAAAATCTATATTATCTCTTAGAGCAGTGGTTCTCAACCTTCTTAGTGCTGTGACCTTATATCACAGTTCCTCATGCTGTGGTGACCCCCACCACAAAATTATTTGTGCTGCTATTTCATAACTGTAACTTTGCTACTGTTGTGAATCGTAATATCTGTGTTTCCTGATGGTCTTAGGTGACCCTTGTAAACGAATGGTTTAATACCCCCAAAAGGGATCATGACCCACAGGTTGAGAACCACTGTCCTAGAGTGCTAAGCTTGAGTAGCAGGTAGCAAATTTCAGATTCAGAGTTAATTTCATGACATAAATGTACCATGCTTTGTTTGTACCTGTAGTCCAGCTATGGGGGAAGTTAAGACAGGAGACTCATCAGGCGGTGGTGGCACGTGCCTTTAATCCCAGCACTGGGGAAGCAGAAGCAGGCAGATCTCTGTGAGTTCGAAGCCAGCCTGGTCTACAGAGTGAGTTCCAGGACAGACTCCAAGGCTACACAGAGAAACCCTGTAGACTCTTTTTTTAAGAATTTGAGATCAACTTACAAAGTATGGTGAGACTCTGTCCAAAAAAAAAAAAAATACACAGCCTCAAAAACAAACAAAAACCTAAACCGTGAGAAGAGTGAACTGTGTGGCACACAGATAAGCAGTCGGGGATGGTCATGAGTCTGAGTGTTGATGACTCGGAGCAGCACGTGGAGCCGCTTGGTAAACGTAGAGCCATTCGAAGCCCAGCTCCAGCTGATATTAGACTCCCCAGTCTCAGTTTCTTCACCTCTGGCATGGAGATTTCAGCTGCTCTTCCCACTGTCCTGAGACGTGGGACTCAGGACAGTGATGCTGGGTGGCGCAAATAGAGCCTGCTGAATTCACCATGCAGTACTAGGTGCATTGCCAGGTACATAGCAAGTGCACCTTCCCCCACATTAGATTGTCCAAGGAAGACCCTGTTAGCAGAGTAGCCAGAGGGTGGCTTTTCGCAGGAATCTCAAGAGCAAACTCAGTTGCTATTGACCTTAGACCCCGGCCACTCTCTTCAGACTTGCAGCAGTAGTGAAGTTGATTCAAATACTTCCTTCTGGGGCCAGGGAGGTGGATACATGGATAACTGCAGGCTGCTGCCTTGCTTTGACCCTGGAGCAAGTCCTACTGCCCCAGCTGCCTCCAGCCAGCTCCCCTGAACCCTGATGTAGTCCCAGCACTCAGCTCCCTGACTGGCAGAAGATGCAGGTGGGCTTCTCAGGGGTCTCTGACCACCCAGACTGACCCCGCTTCTCATCTTCTCCTTAGTACTTGAACCAGTTTGAAAACTGCTGTGGCCTGCGGGAAGGAGCCATCCTTACCCTGCTGAGTGACATTGGTAAGTCCCGTCCTAGAAACAAAGCCAGGCCCTGCAGGGTAGACGTGAGTCCAGTCAGGCACCTAGGGAATTGCTTCTGCAGAGGGTGTGGTGAGATGTGGAGAGAACCTCCCGGAGTAAGTGAGGAGTTCAGCCAGGGCTCAGATAGAGTTCCTTCCTTCCTAAGTCATGGTGCAAATGACTGTGCATTCCCTGGAAGAGGTTTCCCTTCCCACCAAAGGGCTCCACACCCTACTTTCCTGGAATGGCGGGTGAGCTAGGTCGTCGTCTGGTAGTGAGGCTCTCTACTCTTACAGCAGCAGGTGTTGGCCAGCCATGGGCATAGGAAGGCCCCCTCTTTAATACACGGATACTGTGGGTGTCCTTAGATGCTGGAGCTTATGGCACTCGGAGAAGGCTGGCATCAGGGAGGAGAGTCACGTGGGCCTGCGGACACCTGTTTGTGGTGTCTCCTAGAAGTGGGGTTCTCACAGTCAGCTCTGCCTCTCGCCTAGAGAAGTGGGGATCTCACGGTCAGCTCTGCCTCTCGCCTACAGAAGTGGGGCTCTGACAGTCAGCCTAGAGAAGCAGATCTGAGAAGTGCCACAGAGCTTGCTCAGGGCTTTAAAGATGATGATGATGGTGGTGATGATGATGATGGTGATGGTGATGATGATGATGATGGTGATGATGGTGATGGTGATGATGATGATGATGGTGATGATGGTGATGGTGATGATGATGATGATGGTGATGGTGATGATGGTGATGATGATGATGATGGTGATGATAGTGATGATGATGATGGTGATGATGATGATGATGGTGATGATGGTGATGATGTGTAGTAATATGAGTGGCGGCGGGGCTGCGTCCCCAACACCCCAGCTGCCTGCTCGGCTAGCTTATGCCCCGAAATAATTACACGGACACTGTATTCTTTTAAACACTGCTTGGCCGATTCTCTTCTAGGCTAATTCTCACATATTAATTTAGCCCATTTCTAATCATCTGTGTATGGCACCCCAAGGTGCGCTTACCAGGAAGATTCTAGCCTATGTCCATCCTGGGTCGGAGCTTCATCCCGGGAGTGGGGCATGGCGTCTCTCTCAGGCGTCTGCTCCCGAGAGCAGAGCGGTGGAGACTGACCTCACTTCCTCTTCCTCCCAGCGTTCTGTTCTGTTTACTCCTCCCACCTATCCTCTAACCAATAAAATGGGCCAAGGCAGTTCCTTTATTAGCCAATGACCTTCCTCCATCAATGATGATGATGGTGATGATGATGATGGTGATGGTGATGGTGATGGTGATGATGCCATCATCCAAGGCTGGTGCAAATTGATAGTTTGGGTTCTAGAGTTATCTAGAGTTCTTCCTTGAATATGTGTCCTGTTTTTGGAGAATGGCCTATTTTCAGCCCTCCCCTACTTCATTCTTTCAACCTGTACATATATGACTTGTTCACTCCAAGTTTGTTTTTCCAGTTGTACAGAAAGTTTGATGTGAAGTCACGCATCCTTTCCTTGGGTTCTCCAGCCATTAGCATTTACCCCACTTACACAGCTGTATTCTCTAACTTTGCAGTCCAGGGGCCTCTCATCTTTCAGGAACTTTGCCAGTGTGGGTCTTAAGGCTGAGATCCAAGCAGTCTGATATGTACAGTATTTACCTTCCTGAGCATCCTCCCGTTTCCTTTGCAGTGGAGCCCCATGGAGGCCTAGGTGACATTACTACAGTCTTACCTCATGGGTAAGCCACAGCCACTTCTTGGCCTCGGATTTCCTGTGTGTCTGCCAGAGGAGCCCTGTCTGTATACCTGTGGGGTCTACTCTAGAGGTCTAGACTTCCACTTGTTCTCCCGACACCATACTTCCTGTCTCACCCGCCCATGTTTTGCTTAGATGTTCACCTGATTCTGTCTCCTTAAACCAGCAGCCAAATTACTGATTTGCTCCTGTTGGATTGGGTTAAAGGCAGGCTGGTAGGTAGGGGGTGGGGAGGAGGGAGGGAGGCAGGAGGTTCTTTTGTTCTCCCTGGGCGACATTTGCTTCCTTTGGTCACCACTTTTTCTTGGATGTCATTCTCTCAAATATTTTTCTTCTACTCATTAGATTATTTATGCATCTGTCATATAGGTAGAAAAAGCCTCTACATGGAGACTGGTGGCTCATGCCTGTAGTCTTAGTTTTTGGAAGATAGAGGCAAGAACATTGCTGCGAATTTGAGGATAGCCTGGGCTATAATGGAAACCCTGTCTCAAAGGAACAAAAACAAAAAGCTCTAAATGACCGGTCCATGTACACTAACTGGATGAGTGCTTCGTATGCCCTTTACTTCCTTGGGTGCGGTGACTTTAGTATTATCTACTCTAGTGCCTCCTTGGTGCGGGTGGAGCAGCGGGCTCGAACATGCAAGCGTCCTACCATGAGCTCTACCCAAGTCTTGAACCAAACTGCTTGAAACCAGAGCCTTTGGTCACTGCTTTGTCTTCAGCATCGAGAGAAGTAGTAGCTGGTATATGGCGCCTTGTCTGTGGGTATCTATAAGATCAAATGTTCTGAAAGGAATTAAAATACATGATGACTCATTCTTTAAATGATAGAATCTGGACATCCCTGTATTAATACCCGGCTTATAAACCAGCCCTTCCACTCAGTAGCCAAGTGGCCTGAAGCGTGTTACTCATGCTCAGAGCGCTGACTCGTTAGCTGTAAGTGAGAGCATTGCTCACCTCGTTAGAGTCCTTGAACAAAGAATGAGATGCTGTACATCAGCTCTTGGCACAGCGCTCTTCCTAGAATGCTGTACAGTAAACCAGTGTGGTCCCCTTCCCTTTCCCGCCCTGCAGGCCCTAAAACCCTCAGTCCCTGCTATGGATTATTAATGAGGTTGGAGCCAGCAAACCCCATAGGTGGGAGTCTCGTGAGATGCCGTTCCTGGAAATGCCTGCTCTTCCCCAGACCCATTTCTAACCCAGCCATTTCTGGGATGCATTCCTATTCTTTGACTCTACTTGAAGTTGCTGATAGATTTATGTTTTATTTGCATACCGCACCCCATTTCTGATTTCTGTATGAAACCATCAAATTTAGTCTCACGACTAAGTCAGCTCAAAAGCTTTTCATAGAGTGACATAACCGTTTTGTCTTCTGAAACAGCTCCTGAGCATATTTCGTCCCAAGTGCAACATTCTCTTTGCTGGAGTCACCACTGTTCCCTGCCTGGTTGGTTCCAGTTAATTAGCCAAGCCATGCTCCTGGTCACAGTCCACATTCATTGCCTTCTCATCTGGGTTAAATCTGTTTGCCCCTAATATCTGGGTCCTGATTTTTTAGGGACTCCGCACGGGCCATCATCAGGTAACATGCACAAGCAGGATTCTTCCAGTGAGTTTTAAGTTACCAAATGCAGCTCCAGCAGCTCTAAGGAGAGTACACATGAGAAAACAGGTAGATGCCTGGCAGCCTCCTAGAGCTAGCCTGACCCACCATTGCCTTATCCTGGCAAACCATCCTGGGATAGACAGAGGCAGTGATAACAGTATGAACCTCCCCATAACAGGACCCCAGAATAGCCCACGGGAATCACAGTTACACTAAGTACTCTTTTAGAAAACATAAGAGTGTTGCTTCCTGCCAGCGAAGCAGCGAAGTCCCAAACAGTCAGGTGAGAGGGGGTCAGTGGCCCAGGCTGTCAGTGGCTTCCTGAACCTTAGAACTGCACATGCCCAGACCACACCTCATCTTCCATGTTGTCTTCTCTTCATTCTTGCCCCCTCCCCTTCACCTTCCTCTCCTCGACCAGCCGCTCTGTGCTTTACCGTATTGCTGGTTGTCTGTCTGGTGTCTTGTGGCACCTCTACCAACTGTATCTTCCCCGAGGCTGTGCTCTAACCTGAGCTCTGGATCCATGTCTGCAGAATATTTCTCCCAAAGTCACTCCCAAATTGAACTCTAAACTTCTTTTGACTTGATCCCTTTGTGATACCTTCTTTTTCACTGGACCTGTCTTTCTGCACACCCAGACATGCGTGCCAAGTTTAAATCTCATCTTTTGGGTCAGTGGTTAAGAGTATTTGCTACCCTTACGAGGGATCCAGATTGGTTCCTAGTCCCCATATGGTGGCTCTCAACCCAAGGGATCTAAGAACCTCTTCTGGCCTCCCGGGGCACCAGACATCTACATAGTGCACATGCACGCAGACACAGCATTCACACACATGAAATAAAAAGAAATAAACCTTTAAATCTCACCCTTGAAAATCTTTCCTTCATGTGTTTCTTACTCTGCCTGGCTGGAAGGACTAAAGGACAAAAAAACACTCTCCAGGTTGATCTGGGCATGTGGCTCAGCTGGTAGAATGCTTGCCTTGCGTGCGTTATGCCCAGTGACTCATAAACTGGACGACATGGTGGCATGTGTCCCAGTCTGGGGGTGAGGCTGGGGAGTAAGAGCAGCAGGATCTGGAATTTAAAATTATCTTTAACTGCATAGTAAATTTAATGCCAGCCGCCTTTGTTTCCAACTGAGGTCGCTAGCCTACTGCACACGGATTCCTATAGCCTGTTCCTCCATTCCCCCACTCGCTGTGTCCTTCCTTCCCCTGTACCTCATCCGGGACCCTCAGCCTTCCTGTCTGTTAGCCTCAGACTTTGCCCGTCACTCTTGATTTCCCTCACAGCACCCTGCTCTTCATGGTCGCTGAGCAAGTGAGAGAGTGGTTCTGCACTTTCGTCCTAACATCTGGTCTTGCTGCTTTCCGCCCTGTTTGTTAGTCACAGAACCCATTTTAGCCCAGAGACCTTGAGCCAGGCTAAGTCTGTTTTGCCTGGGAAGTCCGACAGCAAACTGGGCAGCTCATGGTAGGCTCGGCACTTTAATTAAGAGCACAGACATCTCTTACTTTATTACTCAGTGGCAACTTGGACCACCCATTGGTTGGCCTCTCTCCATCCCTCCCTCTCTTTTCTTCTTCTTCCTTCTGCCTCACCCCCAAACAGTCTACCACTAAGATATACCTGCCCCCTACCTGTTGCTTTTCGCTGTCTCGTTTTCTTCTGATCTGTACCCAGTGGAACATACCTCAAACAAGTGTCCTGAAAAGAGCTTACCAGACTCTTAAGACTTGTATGAATATCGGGATTTCATGGGCACGCCCCTTCCAAACCTCTTTCCTACCTGGAAGCCTGGTTGATTTAGTCTGTTTTCTAAGTTGTAGTTTATTATATGACGAATATGACTTAGAATTGACGTCATATTCTTACTGTAATCCCGGGGAAATCCTGGGTGTAGATGTGGGCATCACCCTGACAAGAGTCATAGTGATGCTCTTTGCCTGCTTCGGGTACTGCACCTGGATCTCTCTGCAGAATCCATATGACAACAGGCCAAGGTACCCATCACTCTCTGCCTGCAGGGATGGCCACCTCCCCTGCCTGCCGGACTGACCATCTCCTCAGTTTGCTGGAGATTCCACATGACTCAGCCCATCCTGATAGGCGTGGTACTGTGTGTTGTATGTTTATGTATAGGTATAGATTAGTATGTGGATATGCTTGTACATTTGTGATGTGTCACAGAAAGGGCTTGGTATTAAATCAGTGTTGTTATTGATTTTTTTACTCCTACCCCTTTTGAGACAGGGTCTCTATGTAGACCAGGGTGGCCTTGAACTCGACATTTAGATTAGGTGACCTCTGCCTCATCTCATGATCATCTTTGTGCTAAGGTTATAGGCATATGCCAACTTTTACTTAAAAAAAAGTGGTGGGGTCTGATACTGTCCTCTTGGCAGTGCATCATCAACATTCTTTAAGTCAATAGCTGTGCACCTAAATTGTTTTAAAGAAGTTGCCCATTATTGCTGGAGAGATGGCTTAGTTGGTGAAGTGCTGGCATGTGTCTTTGGTAGGTTTCTATCGCTTCAATGAAATACCATGTCCGAAAGCAATGGGGGGGAGGGAAGGGTTCGCATCATCTCACACTTCCACGACACAGTCTATCATCCAGGAAGTCAGGACAGGAACCTCGAGGCAGGAACTGAACTGAAGCTGAGAATGAGCTGCGTACTGGCCTGCTTCTTGTGGCTTGCTCAGCCTGCTTTCTTAAAACACTCAGGGCCCCCAGCCCAGGGATGGCACCATCCACAGTGAGCTGGACTCTTCCCACTTGTCATCAATCAAAAAATATCTTACAGGCTTGCCCACAGGCCAGTCTGCTGGAGGCGTTTTCTCAGTTGAAGTCCCCTCTTACACAATGCCAGCTTGTTTCAAGGTGATGTAAAACCAGTCAGCACACTGTGCAATCATGAGGACCCAAGTTCAGTTATCTGCACAGCACCCGGAGTGAAAAGGGTGAAGCCTGCACCTGTAATCCCATCCCGGGGAGAGGGGCAGAGGTAGAAGGATCCCTGGGGCTGCTGGGAAACCAGTCCACATGAGTTGCTGAGCTCCAGGTTCAGAAACCCTATTTGGAAAAAAGATAAAGGGGGCAGGGACAGGCTAGGAAAGGATGGAGGAAGATACGTGAGTTTGAGGCCCTTTCCTGAGCTTTGTTTGTGAAATCTTTGACCATGAATTTTCCAAACGTATTTTGTCTATGTCCCTTTTGTTAATCAGGGCTCCTGTGTGCTGGACTTGATCTTCCTAGAGGCTGACTGACCTCAGACTGCTGATCTTGCCTCCACCTCCCAACTGCTCCCATACACCACCGTGGCTAGTCTTTTTATGCAGTACTTCAGCGCCTCATGGATGCTGGGCAAACACTGCAGTAACTGGGCTACACCATCAGCAGATAAACCAAAATCTCACAGTTAAAATTCTGCACTTTTGGCCGGGCCCCCTTCACCAGGCCTGAGCAGTATCCGCCCCAGGCTGCCGCTTTCCACTGAGTTTATGCAACAGAAGTCAGAAAATGTGTCAAGGCAGCACTATATTGTCTTTGACAGGCTTGTGAATTCTGAAGGAAAAAAGCATTTTCTAGACATAATAAAATATCGTTCATCTTTACACCCCCTCAGCATCAGCACTTAGATACCTCCATGAAAACAGAATCATCCACCGAGATCTGAAACCAGAAAACATTGTTCTGCAGCAAGGGGAGCAACGGGTGAGTGGCCTCCCTGGGACTTAGGGAGTCTCCGGGGCTGCTGGGGGACTTAGGGAGTCTCTGGGGCTGCTGGAGGGACTTTAGGGAGTCTCTGGGGCTGCTGGGAGACAGCTCTGGCAAGGGAGCACTCTGCATTTTAAGTTGTTTGTTTCTGGATTTCCTCGAGTCACCCTGTGGTTCTCTTAAGGATTTCTTCTTTTGGGATTTCTTTCCGTTTTTGAAACAACAGTGCAAACTGTTCTTGCTGGCAGACTGAGGCAAGCTTGGCTGTATCACATTGGCATTTTATTTTTTTATTATTTTTTTCTCCAGTACTGAATGTATTACATTGTTAATTGCCCACGTTGCAGGAATCTGATAAGGAAAATGTTTATTATTCCACCTCCGCCCTCAACCAAACACCTCTTTGAGACAGACTTTCTCTGTTTCACTTGTTTTGGAAGCCTCACCTTTCGGTGTTAAAATGAGCTGAAGTTGGTTGTGGGTGTGGTTGAGAAGAGACAGGCAAAGGTGGCATCAGCCCATCGTGGGCATGGTCCAGCTTGCCGTTACACACAAGCTATACTTGTGGCCTCTGCCAATGGCTGCCCCACTCGAATGCGATGGTAACCTCCTCAAGAGCTTAGGTACTGTAGTCTCCCAACTCCGTTCAACCAGGGGTGGCCCATCCCTCCTGAAACGGCTTCCCTCACAATTCCTAGCCCAGCCCATGACTGTGGCAGACTCACCAAACCCTCATTCTTCCAGTCATTCTGGATATTTCCTGAGCAGGGCCTGGCCTGGCCTCTTCCATTACAAACCCAGGCTTAGTGACCCTGGGGTCTGATATGTAGGCTCTTAATTGATTAGTGGCAAACCAAGAAAAACATCTGCCCAGCATTTTTATAGTACCCAAAAGGTACCTGGTCGAGGACTTTCTCCTGTGACTATATTGGCTCTAAGATGTTCAGGAACCACCATTCTTTGGGAGTTCAGGAATATCTTTGTTCTAATGGCAAACAGACTTGCGTTGTGAAAGGAGACGGTCCTCTTACAGCCTACAGATTCTTCTCCTCACCCCACCCTTTTTTCTTCCAGTTAATACACAAAATTATTGATCTAGGATATGCCAAGGAACTCGATCAGGGCAGTCTGTGCACTTCCTTTGTGGGAACCCTGCAATACCTGGTAAGAAATGGGCCCAAGGGCTTGCTTCTCAGTCCCTGTGATGTTCATGTTTGTGGGTCTGTCTGTCCTTCCTGCCTGCATCTCAGGCTTGCTAGCTCCATGGACATCTAGAATTTTTGTGTGAGTGCACAAACCCTAGTTCACACATGTGCATGTTGTTTTGCCCTCTGGAAAGATTTAGTCTCTGCCCTGGTGTGAGAAGGGCTGTGCTGTGTGCCTTTACCCAGATCCTGGAACCTCCCTGTGCCAGGGTTCTGTCTGATTATCTATAGAGGCCAAGTTTCCTGGAGGGTCACGGGAACCAGTGGGGAAGAGGTGGGGCCGTGACTTCTCTCCTGTGTGCTGTGTGATCTGGATACCGGAGTGATATTTGATCAACTCATTCTTCAGGAATGTTGTGCGCCAGACCTTGTGCTCAGAGCTGGCAGTACAGTGAGAAAAGAGATATAAGTGTTTGGCTGCTCACTGAGAGCTTACCGTTCAAAAAGAAAGCAGGCGTTAGTCACCATGGCATCCAGATACTCAGAAACCACCGTTGTCGTGAGCGCCTCTGATGCAAGTACAGGCTGGAGGATGTGTTGTGTGTGAAGGGGGCCTAGCTAAGTCTGGGCCTAAAGGTGAAGGGCTAGAGTCGGGGGAGGCAGTGCAAGGACGGGGAGAGGAGAAACTGGCGAAAGCATGGCACATTGGAAGACACAATAGTGTGGCCCAGGCGCTGGGGAGGAAGAAGGAAGGGACAAACTGTTATCCTTTACTGACTTTAAGGGTTTTTAACCATATCATAAAACCTCTGGAACAGCCCTGAAGAATGACTAAAGCGGCTGCTGGACTAGACACATCCCCAACTGTGCAAGTAGAGTAGGGAGGCACCAAATGTTTAAATGCAAGAACTGGGCTGGGACACTGTTTGGCATAGCTGTAATCAGCTCTTGCCTAGAATCTAAGCACTGGGCTGGTGGAGACAAGACAAGCGTGAGTTTGGGGCCAGTCTGGACTACACGGCAAGCATCTATCTTAAATAGAGCAGGGGTGGGGTAGATAACAGACACTAAGGAAGACTTAGTGATAGATTCATTACTGGTGATAGCAGTTATCAGATTGTGGTTGAATAATGGAATCTGAGTTCAATAAACAAAAAAGGTTGAAGGTCTCAGGGCTAAAAGATCATAAGCATTCTATCTCTTAAGAAAGAAATTGTGTCTTGTTTTCCTGAATTTGTTAATGTTCCTATCTAGCCCACCAGTTGGAGTCCGGGAACACTGTTTCTCCTCTGTTGTATGGAACACAGCTTTCCCGGGACTGTGGGATGTAATTCAGACAGTGCGTCCATGTGGTATTATTATACACATTCCGCTAAGTACCCTCTCAAGCCCTCAGTAGCTCAGCAGCAACTGACTGAGGTGAGCCCATGCTCTGGCCATGATTGGTGACTCCTTGTATGGCTCCAGGAACTTAACCTGACTAGAGGTAGCAAGGGAATGAAGCAGTGACTGGCAGGAATGCCAGGATTGAGTGGACTGAGCTCTCTGGTGGAGAAACGACAGCACCTTGGAAACTCATTGTGTTATAACAGAGAGGCAAGGTTATAGCTGACCACGGAGGTGGGGTGAGGTGGTGGGTTTAGTTAGGAGCAATCTTCAAGCCAAAGATGATGGGAGAGGGGAAGAGCTATGGTGGACAGTTTCCGCACACACCGTCAACATTCATACCCGGACCCCCTAAGAAATCTTGGCCTTCTCTCTGACCCTCATCCCTGTGGGGAAGGCTTCGCCGTTTTCCCATGGGTCTGAGACTGTAGCCTTTGCCATGGCGGTGTCCATGTTACCAGCACACATTCACTGGGGTCGTCATTCACCCAAGGCCCCCTCTGCTTCCCACACGAGGTGCTAACAAAGCTGTTTACTTACATGAATTAAAGTGTCCATCCATAGCCACGCCTGAAGATTGAACTAATTATATTTTAACCCAAATTCCTCCTGGTGTTGACTCCCTGGCCCTTCTGTAAGTCTCCCATGTCCATGTAGATCATGGCCCTGTCATTGAGCCTCTGCTGGTGGTAGTCCTTCCTGGATGTTTCCTCAGTGTGTTTCCTTTAAGCCTTCTGAGCCCGGTGCATGGCCTGTCTGGGCTTCATCACAATCTTGGGCCATGCTCTTAACTCGGGCAGCAATCGTGCAGCTTGGCTTTTTCCTGCTTGATTATAAATATCCCACCTCTCTGTATGGGGTTACTTGGCGTGTACTAGTTGATGCCGTTTGTCTGTTGGGCATAGCTATCTCTCTGTCTGCTGTGGACTGGGGCCCGCATGTGATCTTCATCAAGTCCTTGGTGTACTATAACCCTCATTTTTTTTTAAATATGCATTGGTGGTTGCAGGAGTCAGATCCACTGGAACTTGAGTTACAGACAGTTGTGAGCTGTTCTGTAGGTGCTGGGAATTGAACCCCAGTCCTCTGGAAGAGCAACCAGTGCTCTTAACCACTGAGCCATCTCTCCAGCCCTTACCACCCTCATTTTTAAATAGGGAAAAATTAAATAACTGTGTAATGCAAAATAGATTTACCCTGGTCTGCCTTGAAGTGATTCCTCAGGATCCTGACTCCTCAGCTCTCCTGCCAATACTTCTGAACACAGTCTCATTAAGAATTTGAAGTACAGAGCCAGGCTGTGGTGGCGCATGCCATTAATTCCAGCACTTGGGAGGCAGAGGCAGGCAGATCTTTGAGTATGAGACCAGCCTGGTCTACAGAGTGAGTTCCAGGACAGCCAGGGCTACCCAGGGAAACCCTGTCTTGAAAAACAGAAAGCAAACAAACAAAATATATGAAGTACAAGAAAATCTTACGTACCCACAGCTGAACCTGTTCGAGTGCTCCTTTTCTCTTCTGAGTGGACAGACTCTGGCCTGGTGCTGCAGGCGGGGGCTGGCTCTGTGAGCTGGAGCTCTTCCAAGCAGGAAGAGGGTAGACATGGCCACTGTGTTTCAGGCCCCAGAGCTGCTAGAGCAGCAGAAGTACACCGTGACGGTCGACTACTGGAGCTTCGGCACCCTGGCCTTCGAGTGCATCACCGGCTTCCGGCCCTTCCTTCCCAACTGGCAGCCCGTGCAGTGGTGAGTGGACCTGGTCCTGGTGGGAGAGTTAGCCTGAGGGGAGATGTCTTGTCCTGGCTCCATTTCTTCGCCCAGTCCTTTTCTGGTCCCCAGGTTAGGCCCGAATGGTCTGTGGTCTGTTCTCCCTAGGAGTGGCAGGTCAAGCTTCTCAGCCTTGAACAAAAGAATGGTTGCTGGCAGCACCTGTACATAGAGCATCGGTCCTAACGTGGTCGGCCTTGACAAGGTGGGCCACCCTAGACCGCTGCATCACTGCGCATTGACAGTGACGTGTTAGCAGGTCATTAGTGAAGAGAACAGAGGTTCTCACAAGACCGGTAGCGAAGGGCTGTTTACATGTGCAGTAAAGTCCATCAGTGTCAGTCTTCATACAGAAAGGTTTTCCTTAGTTTCTGTAGTAGTAATAAATGCTTGAAACTTCAAAAGTATTATATATATATATATATATATATATATATATATATATTAAAAGATTGTCTCATGAAAGTCTCCATACCTCTTGGTCTCCCTCCTGGAGATGTGATAGCCACAATTTAGTGTCCTTTATGAATGCCGGTGCCCTTCCCGCCAGGTCGTGCATTTGTTTTTTTTTTTCTTATGCTATCCTCATTGCACTTGAGTGGAACCATAACTGAGCATTCCTCTGTGTGTGCTCTGAAAGCCTTTTCCACCAGAATTCCCTTCAGAGCAATGTATTACACACACACATACACATACATACACACACACACACACATACACACACACACACACACAGAGAGAGAGAGAGAGAGAGAGAGAGAGAGAGAGAGAGAGAGAATCCTGTCTAGTGCCTAAAAGTGCTGTTTGGTGTTCTACTCAGTCACTGTGGTGCAGTTGGCTGTTGGAAGACTGAGTGGTTCATAATTGGTGCTTCTTAAAATAATACCACAAATAACATCCTTGTAGGTAAGCCGTCGCTCATACACAGCTATTTATCTGGTTATTTATACATTCCTATGAATAGAATCATCAGATTTACAGAGTACACACATTTTAAAGGCTTTGAGGTGCCTGATGCCAGCTGCCAGAAAAGGCTGTACAAAACCACACTTCTGCAGGGGTACACCAATCTCGCCTTTTCCCTGTGCCGTTCTTAACACCAAGGTCTTCATTTTCCTAAGTACCTTGTAAGATTAGTAAAAAAAAAAAAAAAAAAAAAAAACCAGTAACTTTTCAAAGGACAAGTGCTTACACCAAGAAAAGCTCTCTAGCAGAAAATAGCCTTCACTTCTGGTCCTCCTGCCTCCAGCTCCCAAAAGCTGGAATCACAGGCCTGTGCTACCACACAGTTTGACTCAGTGCTGGGGATGGAACCCAAGACTTCCTCACTTGACCAGCCGAGCCACAACTCCTTAAAAACATCTTCTGATACAAAACGAACCATGAGGGCTGGAGAGATGGCTCAGTGGTTAAGAGCATTGCCTGCTCTTCCAAAGGTCCTGAGTTCAATTCCCAGCAACGACATGGTGGCTCACAACCATCTGTAATGAGGTCTGGTGTCCTCTTCTGACCTGCAGACATACACACAGACAGAATATTGTATACATAATAAATAAATAAATATTAAAAAAAAAAACGAACCATGACCTGTGAAGGCGGTTCTAGAAGAAAGGTTTGGGTGGTGGCAACAGAGATCAGTTCCACATTTAGAGCTACATGGTGGGGGTGCAGAGGCAGAAAACATGCCAAGAAAGCCCACTGTCCTATAACTACTTACAAACCAGGCTTTGGTCTCTCAGCCCATGGGTTCTGGGATATACAGAATTAGCATCTTAGCCTATAGTTGCACATTATAATTTAACCATAAAGTAAAGTAGCTTTAAATTATTTGTACTACGTTGGTTTTAGTTAACCAAGTGATTGGTTGTTTTGTTTTCATTTCAAATGTTCACTTTTTCAAAGTTGAGCGGAGGAAGACATCACAAAGGTTGAACTTCCTTTGCATTTAACAAGATAAGTTAGATCCTACAGAGCTGAAAAAAATACTGTTTGAAAACGCCCTTGATGGCTCGGTGTCTTCACAGCATGTCTGCTGTCCGCAAAATCTCTTCCCTGGAACCAGCTGCACTGTCATCTCCTCAGAAGTCAGTTTCACTGAAACCCAATTTCTGTGGACCAGTTTATGAGAAGACCTTATCACCCACGCCTCTAGAGTCATCTGCCCTCAAGTGACAAGACACACAGCCCAGGCAGTCCGTGCTCTGCCTAGGGCGTCTGTTTCTAGTTTCCTATTGAAAGACTCTGTTTTCTGGAGGAGAGCACCCCGTTTTAGTTTGAAGCCCCAGGGACCGTGACTACCACTTCCCAGCTTTACTAGACCGCATGCCAGCCTCTGCCGTGCATGTCCCACCTTCTCCTGCTTCCCTCCGCCCTGGAGAGGCCAGCTCGCTGTTTGCCAATGGTAACTGCGAAAGGCTGAAACGTTTTCTTTTTCATTTGGATCATCCTATTTAGGAGAAAGACGCATCTGGACTTTTATGCACTAGAAATTATACCAGAATTTGAGTCCTTTGTTCTGTCTAATATTGAACAACACCTACTCATTTCCTCACCACTAAGTGGCAGACTAAAAATAATGTCACCACACAGGATGGCCACCGAAACCGAGGAGCTCTGGCAGAGTACTTAGTTGTTTATAAAACGGCGTTCCAACTTAAGCTGTCCTCGTTACCAAGAGGACTGGAAGCCACTTGGGTTTAATTTTTCCCTCTCCTGCACCACCTCAAATACCTTTGGAAGCTCCCCACTCTGGGAAATATGAAAGTTCATTTCTTCTGGAATATGCTTAGCCACATACTTGAAAAGGGAAATATGGGCTTCCCTTCCCTTACTCGGTAGCTAAGTGGTAAAGGCACACGTCACCAAGCCCAACAACCTGAATTCCGTCTCTGGAGCCCCAGTGGTGGAAGGAGAGAACCATTTCCCTTAAGTTATCCTCTGATGCCCCATGCATGCCATGGCGAGTGTGTGCATTCGTGTACATGAGCATACACGCGCACACTCGAGCTCTCACACGAACAAATAAGTGTAATTAAAAATGTAGCCATGTACATCTCAAATTAATGTGATGTGTACGCAATGACTGTGGCTCAGAACCCTGATTTTATCCTCTACCGAAACCTGAGAGCTGGGCTGGAGAAATGGCTCAGCGGTTAAGAGCGCTGGCTGCTCGTCCAGAGGACCTGGGTTTGATCCCCAGCACCCACATCAGGCAGCTCACAGCGGTCACTTGTCCACACACACATATGTATAATTGAAAATAAAATCTTTTTTAAAAATGAGAGCTTATATTTGATAAATGAAGGGTAGAAAAACTAAAATAATCAAGGATGAGACAGAGGTCAGCAGTGCTTCCTGTAGAGCTCAGGACGTGAGGTCATGAGCCACCTTGCTGGACGTTGTCCTTCAGCCTCAATTTGGGCAGCGCTGGCCACAACTTGCTTGTTTGCTGTGTTTTGTTTAATGCTGAACCAGAGTCTCCCCATGCTAAGGACTCATTGCCCCTGAGCTAAACCCATAAACCTGTCAGCATACCGAGCATTATTTCAGAAGGTGTGCAGTTGTAGTGAGGTTGGTTACAAGTGTAAACTGGGTGTTTGCCATGAGTGACATAAAGGACATCTTACAATGGCATCTGCAGGCATTCCAAAGTCCGGCAGAAGAGCGAAGCGGACATTGTTGTCAGTGAAGACTTGAATGGAGCGGTGAAGTTTTCCAGCTCTTTGCCCTTCCCCAATAATCTGAACAGGTAAGGCCATGGGCGTTTATCACATGTATTCTTCTTCTCTTTAGAAATACAGGTCTGAGGTGGCATCTGGTACATTTGTCTGTTTATTTTCATTATATATGTGTGAGTGACTGGTACCTGTGGAAGCCAGAAGAGGGGTCAGGTCCCCTGGAACTGGAGTTGCAGATGGTTGTGTGCTGCCATGTGGATCCTGGGAACCAAACCTGGGTTCTGTGCAAGAGCAGCCAGTGCTCTTACCCATGAGCCATCTCCGGACCCTCTGGGCTTTTGAATGGATAACGAAATACTGTCCTGTCACTGAGAACTTGACAGTCCATCTCAGCTTTAGACAAAGGATGCATTCTCGCTCCTGTCTCCTCTCCCCCAAAATCTTCTTTGTTGTTATTAATTGGTTGGCTGGTTTTTGCTATGGTGGAGGTAAAAATCCCTGTCTTTGTTCATGCAAAGCAAATGTTCTACCAGCTTCCAAACCATCTCTTTGCTCGATTCACATAACAATTTATTTGTATATCTTATCGTTTTTGAGGGAAGCCAAGACAAGGACTCAAAGCAGGAACCCAGAGTAGAAATTGGAGCAAAACCCTGCCAATTCATTTGAGTCCCTTTCCCAGCCGACTCTGGGTCTGACTATGACATGTCTCCACTCTGAAGTAGATTCATTCAGCCCGGACTTTGTTACTCCACGGGAAGTCATTTAAGGGCAGGGGTTATACTTTATTCCTCTTTGTGTTCCTCGTCAGGCCCAAACAAACAAAGCTTTGAGGTTTGAATGGCACTGTGCTCTAGTCTTAGAGCTAGAATATAAGTGGTTAATTAGTGCATCAGAATTGGGTCATAACACAGAAGAAAGCTCCAGGTGGATGGCTGCTCACATATTCGGGGATGGGGAAGGAGCCATATGGATTAAAGCAATGTGGAGTGACACCGGGTGTTCTATAGTTGGGGTCGGTGGGGGGGGGGAGAGTTAGAGAAGACATGGACAGATGAAGAAGATAGAGAAGTTTGACTGGAAAGATTAGAGACACGTGGGGTTGGCCCTGAGGGAGCCTAGGGGGCAGTGTGGGCAGCAGGAGCCTAGGGGGCAGTGTGGGCAGCAGGAGGACTTTGAACATTGTATGTACATCCATTAGGTGCTCTCAAATCAGCAGCTCATGTTCCAGACCAGGGCTGCTTAAAACTTCCACTCAGAGCCCAGCATGGTGGCACACACCTTTAATCCCAGCACTGGGGAGACAGAGGCAGGTGGATCTCTGTGAGTTCAAGGCCAGCCTGGTCTACAGAGTGAGTTTTAGGACAGCCAGCATCCATGACTGAATACTACCCCGTCTCATGCTTTTTTTTAAATGTGTGTTTATATGTGTTTATATTTTTTTTACTCATTGGCTCTTTGGGGTGCCCACCACCAGCTCCCAGATAATCACATGGAGTCTTAGTCTTACTTATGAATGTTCAGCCTTAGCTTAGCTTTTTTCTAGCCAGCTTTTATTAACTTAAAATCTCATCTATCTTTTGCCTCTGGACTTTTACCTTTCTGTATTTCTGTATATCTTTTCTTTCCTTCTTATTCTGTATCTGGCTGTATGGCTGGGTGCCTGGCCCCCAGTATCCTCCTCTCCTTCTTCTCTTGCTCTTCTATTCTCTTCCTATATTTCTCCTCCTGTTTGTTCTCTTTGCCTGCCAGCCCTGCCTATCCTTTCTCCTGCCTTGCTATTGGCCATTCAGCTCTTTACTAGACCAATCAAGTGTTTTAGACAGGCAAAGTAGCACAGCTTCACAGAGTTAAACAAATGCAACACATCTTTGCAACATTAAACAAATATTCCACAGCATAAACAAATGTAACACATCTTCAACTAATATTCCATAACATGTTTATGTATGTGTGTACAGGTGTGTGTTCTCTGAAAGCCAGAAGACAACCTCAGAGCCTGTACACCTCTCTCTCTTTTTTTTTTTTTTTTTTTTTGAGACAGAGTCTCTCATTGTTCTGGAATTCAACAAACAGGCTAAGCTGGCTGATTCTCTAAAGATTCACTTGTCTGATATAAGCTTTTTTTTTTATATGGGACCTGAGATCAAACTTAGGTCCTTGTGTTTGCAAAGCAAACCCCTCACTCAGCCTGAGCTGTCAGCCAGAGACTGCTTTGGAATCTGCACATGAAGGCACCTGACTCAGGCCTCTCTTACCATTGCTGCCTGCAGTGTCCTGGCGGAACGTCTGGAGAAGTGGCTGCAGCTCATGCTCATGTGGCACCCTCGACAAAGGGGCACGGACCCCCAGTATGGTCCCAATGGTTGCTTCAGAGCCTTGGACGACATCCTGAACTTGAAGGTGAGAGTAGAGTCAAGGCCTCTGTGGTCCCCAGTGGGACATAGTAGGAACACTTGGCTTTGGGAGGAAATCCAGGCTCCGAGTCTTTGGGCTAAAATAAGAGGACAGGAAAGCGGAGCTGGCTAACACTGCCACCAGCCTGCTGTTGAGGGAAATGGGACTTAGACTAGCGCTTCACTGGCAAGCACTGCGGACAGCAGGGGATCTTGGCAAATACATGGGTTTGTTTGTAAAGAAATTTGCTTTCTGGGTTAGTGAGATGGCTCATCAGGTAAAGATGCTTGCAGCCTAGCCTGACAACCCGAGTTCAACCCCTGCAACCTGCATAGTGAAAAGAGAGAACCAGCTCCTCAAACCATCTTCCAGTCTCCATGCATCCACTGTGACATGCACACGTGCCCCCTCCCCCAGGACACAGACAAACATAGAAGGCACATACGTGTTAAGAGAATTGTTTTCCAATACTGTCTGGGTTGTGTTGCAGCTGGTTCATATCTTGAACATGGTCACAGGCACCGTTCACACATACCCTGTGACAGAGGATGAGAGTCTGCAGAGCCTGAAAACCAGAATCCGGGAAGACACGGGAATCCTGGAGAAAGACCAGGAGCTGCTGCAAGAGGCAGGGCTGGTGCTGCTCCCAGACATGCCTGCTACCCAGTGCATCTCAGACAGCAAGGTGAGTTCCTGATTTCCTGTACCTTACCCTGTTTCCCTCTGACTTGGTCTCCGAGGAGACCATCAGCATGACAAGCAGTTAATCGCACCGTGTACAACTTGCTTGATGGGTCAGACCTCTAATGCTTTCTTGTGCCTCTGTTGCCACAGTCATGTTCTGTCCTTCTGGACCACACAGCTGTGCTGGGCATCTGTGCTCACCCTGTCCATCAGTGTGTGATGCGGCGCTTGCCCTGATGTGCTAATGGCGTAGAGGACGGAGCTCACGTTAGCATATGAGAACCAGGCTTTGCACAGGGAAGTGTGGCGTGTACAGGGAACTCCTGCACAGCATAAATAGAACCTGATGTGAGGGGCAGGTTCAGATAAAGAGAGTGGGGAGGAAAGCAGGCTGAGTTATGTGGCTTCTCAGGCCCCGGTGGCATACTCGGTGAGCAGTTGGCAGTACTCTGACTTCCTGTGTAGCTGGGAAGGAAGGGTGGAACCTCCAGGTCTCATTCTGTTCTCGTCTCTTTGCAGCCAAATGAGGGCCTCACGTCGGACATGGACCTTGTTTTTCTCTTTGACAACAGTAAAGTCACCTATGAGACTCAGATCACCCCCAGACCCCAACCTGAGAGCGTCAGCTGTATCCGTAAGTGCATCGTTTATTAAAATCGACCAGCTGTGATATTTAGGGTGATGCTGGAGTGGGAGACGGGAAGGAAATGTGTTCTGCTGGTTCTGGGGTTCGGAAGCCTTCTGTATTTGAGATATGCAGAGAATAGTCCAGGCACTCTGTGTGTTGGAGGTGAAAGGCAAGAGGATCGGGAGTTTAACTTTATAGCAAGTTGAAGACTAGCCTGGGCTACATGAGACTCTGTTTTAAAAAAAAAAATTAATGAAGGTACCTGATACAAAAACAGAACACAAAACCACAAAAGATACCCCCAAAGGATATACAATAAAAGAAAAGCACTTTGGCTCTGGTCTCCAGCCAGTAAGCTCACCTTCCAGCAAAACTGCTGTTATCAAATACTTGGGCATCTCCCTCAAAAAAATGCCGTGTTCTGTACCTCCCTTTTTACTCATGTGTTCTCTTTATCTTCCTCCTATTGGGAACACAGAACTGCTTTTTTCTGAATGACTGTATAGTATTCTATTGCACGACTGTTTGGTGGACATTTTAAGGATGCAGCTACTCCCAATTTGGGGCCCCTGTCTCACAGATACATACTTAGAATACACGGATCAAAGATCGACTCTCTCAGAGAGCTCTCTGACTTCTTGACTAAACATTTGTAGAACATCTGGCTAATGCTGCATCTATTTCTTTATTATTGGCGGTGGGGCATCTGTGCCACAGCACACCTGTAGAGATTAGAAGAAAACTTTGTGGGATCAGATCTCTCCTACCTTTATGTGGGTCCCAAGACTGAACTCAGGTCACCAGGCTTGTGTGGCAAGAGCCGTTACCCACTTGAGCCATCTCACCTGATGGTGTGTTTTCATGAAAATTTCATACATCCTTAAGTGTGGTGCCGATAAGAGCATCTACTGAAAATAACCCAGGCTAGCCTCAACCTCCCAGCAAACGTCCTGCTCAGCCATGCAGGTGCTGGGATTGCAGGTGTGTGTCCCCATGCTTGACTCATTGGAGTTCTTCAAATCGAATTGGTAGTAGCTTTTAGTTGGCCCTCTATACGATTAATGGAACACCGAAATGTTTAAACTAATAATGAACCATAATGCCTGCAGAATTATGTAACGGTATAGAGATTATATAACTTTAAAAACACCAGCGATGCCATGGGGGCAGGATGTGGTTCCCTGGAGCTGATGCCCTCTCTGACAGCTATTTGTTTCCAGTTCAGGAGCCCAAGCGGAACCTCTCTTTCTTCCAGCTGAGGAAAGTGTGGGGTCAAGTCTGGCACAGCATCCAGACGCTGAAGGAAGACTGCAACCGGCTACAGCAGGGACAGCGAGCTGCCATGTACGGTGCTGGTTTACTGAATGTATTTTAAATTGCTTGTTGGCTTTGGCTCTAGAGAGGTGGCTGAGGCAGGGATCCAGAAGCAACTCTTAGGCGGGACAAGAGGAGACTCTGGTTTGGATGAAAGGGAGTGGTTGAGTGGGCTGACTGGAGGGAGGCCCTTGGACTTCCTAAGGTCAGGGGTTGGTAAATGGGGCAGACGTGCAGAACTTAGGCCTGGGCAGCTCATCCGTGTGCAATCTGGAGCTTGGAGAAGCTTAGTGAGCCCTGGGTGAGGGACACTGCCCTGGCTGGTGTGCGGGGACTTGCTGATAGATTCTCTGATTAGGATGAGTATATTGGGCTGTGTGTAGCACCTCAGCCAATTCCATCTTTGGCAAAGACCTTTATGTGTTGGTGCGGGCTAGGAAGTTGTCCTTATGATTCTAAGAGGCTGATTCAGTGACTGTGAGTGATTACGGCCAAGCCTCTCTTGGCAGAGGGTTTTTTTACTATATAGGAAGTGTTCCCAGCTGCCAAGTGTGTCCCAAGGTTCTGGTTCTGCCTCTTACCACCCCCGCAGGATGAATCTGCTTCGGAACAACAGCTGCCTTTCCAAGATGAAGAACGCCATGGCCTCTATGGCACAGCAGCTCAAGGCCAAGCTGGAGTTCTTCAGGTCCAGCATCCAGATTGACCTGGAGAAGTACCGAGAGCAGACTGAGTTCGGGATCAGTGAGTGTGCTCTGCAGTGAGCTGGAAACACGTCCCCCTTCTCTTCCCCCTTCTCCTCCTTTCTTCCTGGCATTTCTCTGACCTTTATAATTCAGTTTTTAACTTCTGTTTTCAGTTTTATGGTGTTTTTGTTTTTCCTCTATTTTTCCTAGCATCAGAGAAGCTGCTGCTGGCCTGGAAGGAGATGGAGCAGGCTGTGGAGCTGTGCGGGCGGGTAGGAGACCCACCCTAGCTAGGGTTCTGTACTGTGGTGTCTGAAGCTTTGTTCTGCCATTTTCCACTTTCTCGTCCAATACTGGTTTGAGATGCTTTGTCAAAATTGAAGGTTTCCACACCACATCCTTTGACCTTAACCAGACTTGCTGGAAGGGAACAGAAGTGGTAGCTGCGGGGAGCCCTGAGATACCAGGCTTGAGAGATGGGCAGAGTTTGTCCACATTTAGGAAAAAAAGCAAACTATCAGATTCCCTTGGGAAAACTAAAGCTGCCTGATATTAAATGGAGCATCAGTGGGGAGATCAGTTCTTCACAGAGGTTTCCGCATGAATTCACTGAAACATGAATCTGTAAGTAAGAAGGGTTTAAACAGAAAAGCTCAGCACAGTATACTTTAGATGCCACTGGAAACCCCTCTTCGTAAGATCAGAGAAGGAAGTGTAGCTTGGTGCATTGTGCACAGATCCAAGGCCCTGTCTGCCAGAGCTTTTCCTATCTTCACGCCCTGTGTGCTGGGTAGGGGACTTCGCCTGTGCCACTTTGTGGATGACTTTTTGAGTGAGACCTAACAGGTTAATGTATACTTAAAGGTACATGGGCATGAGGCCCCCAGAATGGCTCAGAGGGTAGAGATGCTTGCTGCAGTAAGCCTACCGACTCGAGTGTGATGTCCAGAACACACTTTTTTAAAAGCTGGTAATAGCACACATCTGTAATCTCTGTGCTCCTCTAGCAAACTGAGAAGCAGAGACAGAGAACTGTCTGGAAGTGCACGGGACAAGTGATAGCCTGGAATACACAATCAGAACCAACATGGACAACAGAATGAGAGAACCCACTCCTGAAAGTGTCCTCCAACCTCCACACACATAGGCACTGTGGCAATGCATTCCAGCATGCACGTACGCAGAAATAAATCTTCCAAAAAAAAACATTAAAAGTGTGTGTCCTATCCTCACCAATTTGATACTCAGCCCGAGCACTTGCTTTTGTGTAGGGAAAGATGAAGTGATACGTACTGGGCATCTATTCCTCCAGATACTGTGCTTACTCCTGTTTTTAAGCCTGTAGTTAAGCCCTGCTAGAGGATTTTTTTTTTTTTTTTTATTAAGGATTTCTGCCTGAGCAAAGAGGTTTGTTTTATGGAAGGAAACTGTGGCTTACGGTTAAGTGACTGCCGAGGGTCTCACACTAGGAATATCCAGGTTCAAACCGTCTTCCTCATGAGCCCATATTCCTTCTAGCCAGTCAGTGGAAAGTCTCCTGTGAGTTAGCAGGGCCCAGCACATCTCTTGTCTCAGGATGCCCTGGTTACATCAGTTGGCATGAGCACAGCTTTTCCATCAGGAGGACGACGTGAAGCATCTGGTAGAGCGGATGATGGCCCTGCAGACTGATATCGTGGACCTACAGAGGAGCCCCATGGGTCGGAAGCAGGGGGGCACACTGGACGACCTGTGAGTACCACCAGGGAGGACTGCACTGTACCTCAGAATGCACCGACACCCTGTAGAGTTTCTGATGTGGGAAAATTGCCTCAGGGGGTTCCTTCTGTGGGGCATGTCTTCTGGTGTATCACCTTGGCAAGGAAAAGTGACCTCACAGAGTGTAAGGAGCCTTTCAGACTATGAGAAATACACACACATGCATACACGCACTCACACAAGCATACACGCACACACACACACACACACACACACACACACGCACTCACGCAAGCATGCAGACCTTTCTGTGGCAGCAGACATGCCTGTTCATCCAGCCCATCCTTGTCTAGGTGTGGCTCCCAGAGCAGGAAGTAGAACTGAGTCCCCAAGTTTGGCATTGTGTCCAAGAGGGGTCGAGGCGTTCACACAGATCCACCCTACCTGGAGAACCTAGCATACAGTCTTGTGTGCTGGCAGAAGGGGCCCAGGCAGGTGGTTCAGCTTGTCAAGGGCTCTGTCACCTGAGCGATCAGTGTCCTCTGGTGCTCTTACTAGAATTCTTAGGGTGAGAAACCTAAAAACAACAAATTATTTGTTCTCCATTGTATTTTATTTTTTAGCCCTTTACTCTTCAAGTTTCCAAATAAGAATCTTCTCCCTCCTTCCCCCTCTCTCTCTCTGTCTCTCTCTCTCTCTCAGCATGTGTGTGTGTGTGTGTGTGTGTGTGAATATGTGTGTTGTTTGTTTCAAAACAGGGTATTATTATATATTGACTGACCCAGTACTTGCTAGAGAGCCAAGAAAGACTTGCCTCAAATTCACAGGAAGACACTACTTCAGCTTCCAGAGTGCTCGGGCTATGTGTGTGGAGCCAGGGTCAGCTCATCTTCTCAGACTATTGCCTGTATCAGGGAAAAGACAGGAGTTTATATCTAGCCTTGTACTTACAGTTTTGAGGACAAGTATTTTCTTAGTAAGGTCCAGAAATGGCACCTTGAATCACTCTTGTAGCCAAGCAGAGAAGGAATATAATCCTTAAGTTTGCTCTTGTTTGGGGCATTTGGATTTTCTAAATAGTACCAAAACTGGCAGGGTTTTTTTTTTCCCCATTGAGAATATATGACCAGTTGTCTAAAAAATGGCTATTCTGCTGGTAAGAATTAGCAGACCAGTGCTTTAAATGTCGTTGGTGGACCTTGAGTCTAGCCTCTTCTCTCTTCCAGAGAGGAGCAAGCAAGGGAGCTCTATAGACGACTAAGGGAGAAGCCCAGAGGTAGGTGGTTGTGGCCCTGGGACATGTCTTGTCTTTGAGACACTGGTCTCCCCCAGAGACCAGGAGGAAGAACTATGCCCCTCTCTTCTGCAGACCAGAGGACAGACGGTGACAGTCAGGAAATGGTACGGCTCCTACTCCAGGCAATCCAAAGCTTCGAGAAAAAAGTACGAGTGATTTACACACAGCTCAGGTAGGCGCTCCCTCTCTTGCTGCAGGACAGGATGTGGAATTAGCCTACACAGTGAAGAAACAGCCTGGTTGCTGGTAGGATCCCTAATAGTCAGGAGCAACGCTGTGCCAGCCCAGATCTCACGGAAGTGTGGCTCGTTTCTTCTTCACAGTAAAACTGTGGTCTGTAAGCAGAAGGCACTGGAGTTGCTGCCCAAGGTGGAAGAAGTGGTGAGCCTTATGAATGAGGATGAGAAGACTGTGGTCCGGCTCCAGGAGAAGCGGCAGAAGGAGCTCTGGAACCTTCTGAAGATTGCCTGTGTGAGTGGCCTCTGCCCCAGCCTCTCAGGTCCCACCCCCTGTGCTGCCACTACTCTCTGAAGAGGCACATGCTCCTCAGCTCTCCTTAGCTGGCACTCATTTGTGACGTGGAGTAGACAGGAAGGCCTCTTTGAAGGGAAGGTTTTTGTGAGGTGATTCTGTTTACCCATGTGGCTACCGAAACTACCACAAGTAGAGGCACTCCAAACAGCATTGTTCTTTCAGAGTGTCGGAGGCCAGCTGTTACCGGGCAGTGGTGGCACCTGCCCTTAATCCGCCAGATAGACGCAGGCCCATCTCTGAGTTAAAGGACAGCCAGGACTACACAGAGAAACTGTGCCTCCAAAAAACAAAAAACAAAACCAAAAAAAGGACTTAGGCCCCCCTCCCCCAGCTGCCCCAGGTTTAGTCCCTAGCAAAACACACACACACTACATGCACGTGCGCACACAAACACACACACACACAATACACACAAGCACACACAGGTAGCACACCTATAATCCCAGCACTTTTTGAGAAGGAGGATGGTGAGTTGAGGCCAGCTGAAGCTATGTTGTCAATCCTGTCAAGGTGTTAGGGGCAGATGAAGAGGTGTCACTGGCTTGAAAACACCTGATGATGTCAGAGCCCAGAATTATATCTGGAAGACTCCTTTTCCAAATCGGCCATATTTGTAGGTTCCAGGAGTTAGAACATGGACATCTCTTGTTCAGCACTGGTTGGCCCTCACCCAGGTTTCTACTGCTGTTGGCACTGTAGCCAGACCTTCTTATGCACAACTTCTGATTTTCAGTTAGTGGATATTTATTGTACATAATAACTGGGTTTCATGGAGACAGGTGCATACAAATATATAATGTATTTTGACCTCCTCCTCCGTAGTCCACTATTCTTCCTGTTTTTAACCGCTCGCCCTCCTACGTTTCTCATTCCCTCTGCTTTTATGGTATGTGTGGGTAGTTATATAGACTCCAGGATTCACCAATGAGAGAAAATGTGCTATTTGTCCTTCCAATGGCTGAATTTAATAAGATTATGTCCAGCCCCATTTTTCTGCAAACATAATTTTATTCTTCTTATGGCTGTAATAAATCCCGTTGTGTCTGTGTACCACATCTTCTTTGTCTATTTCTCTGTGGGACTTCTGGGTTGTTTCCATAACTGTGTTACTGTGACTAGTCCTATAACACTAAATGTAAGTGTCTCTTTCATATGTTCATTTGGAGTCCTTTGGTAAATACTGAGTGGTATACTGGATCTTACGGTAGGTCTGTCGTGTTTCTTTGAGGAGCCACTACACTGATTTTCATGGTAGTCAACACCATTTCATATGTCCACCACAGAGTGTAAGTGTTCCCTTTTGTATGTGTCCTTGCCAGCATTTGACGTAACTTGTTTTCTTGACGCCACTGTTACTAGGGCAGTTGGAATCTCAAGGTAGTGTTAATTTGATTTTTCTAATAGTAATGTGGGACATTTCTTCCTATGTTTATTGGCCATATATTATTTTATCTTTTGAGAGCTGTCTGTTCAATTCACTATCCCATTGGATTGTGGTTTTCTTGTTCTTCAATTTTGCATATCCTAGCTATTAACTGTCTGTCAGACGTGGGGTGCAGACGAGGGGTGCTTCTTTTGCTGTGTTGAAACTTTCTGGTTCCGTGCAAAGCCATGCGCCCACTCCTTGCTGTTATTTCCTAAGAGCTTGGCACTTTGCAAAATATCCTTGTCCGTGCTTGTGAAATATTCTCCTTATCCTATCCTCTCATCATTTCAGATCTTAAATTGAGATTTTGATCCATTGGAGCTGATTTGTGTGTGTGCAAAATGCGACATAGGGACCCGGTTTTATGTTTTACATACAGATCTCTAGTTCTCCCGGGACCATTGGTTGAAGAGACTGCCTTTGCCCTCATGATTTGCTTTTGTGTCTTCGAGACAGGGTCTCTCTGTAGCTTTGGAGCCTGTCCTGGTACTCGCTCTTGTAGACCAGGCTGGCCTCGAACTCACAGAGATCCGCCTGCCTCTGCCTCCCTAGTGCTGGGATTAAAGGCGTGCGCCACCACTGCCTGGCGTGTACACACTGTCTTAATGCAGCTATGGTGGCACTCAAGGAGGAAAAGTAAAACAGAAGGAAGAAACACTGGCAAAGGGAAAGAACCAAGTTAATAGCATGCCTGGAATACAGGAACTGCTAGGAGAGGGACCTGTTATTGAAAATATACCAGGAAGTAAGAGAAGACGGCAAAAGAAAATTTCAATCACTAGTAACGTCAAGAGCAAAGAGCACCTAGCATGGCGGCGCACACCTGTGCTCCCAGCACCCGGGAGTCTGGAGCAGGAAGTTCAAGGCTAGCTGGGACGATGTAGTAAGACCCGGCCTCAGATAACAGAACCCAGAAGGGCAAAGAAAGGGAGGCGACTTACTATAGAAGCAAGATACAAAATGGTGCTGTGTAAAGATTTTTTTTTTAATTTTTATTTTATCTTCATTGGTGATTTACCTGCATGTATGTTTGTGTGAGGGTGCCAGAAGCCCTGGAGCTGGACAGGTGTGAACCATCATGTGGGTGCTGGGAATGGAACCCGGGTCCTATGGAAGAGCAGCCAGTGATCTTAACTGCTGAGCCATCTCTCCAGCCCCTTTGTAAAGATTCTTGACTGGAGCATCCCAATAGGCCAAGGGAGGAGACAGCATACTGGAAGATTCACAGTGGCAGAGCACAGTTCACGGTCACTGCTGAGAACTGAAGGAGTCCCAGTCAGGAGCATTACTGGCAGGTTTCCCCGGAGATGGGAGCTGGGGATAGTTCCTCCTGTAAGAACAGAGAGGGGAGGGGAAATCTGAGATAATACGTGCTGCCCTGCTCTGCCCGTCTGCATCCACTGAGTGCCCGGCACTGTGGAAGCAGAGGTATGTGGGGGCTGAATATGGCCTTCACTCTAGGCTGGTGAGGGCTGCAGACAAGGACTTGAAAGAGAGCGCTCTAGACTGAGTAAAGAAGTGTACAACGCTGGAGTGTGCAGGATGGCGGCCTGTGAGTTCAGGGAGGAACCCCAGCTTTCTTGGAAGTGCTTGATGTGATGAGCACATTCCAGAAGGGTGCGTGCTGTCTGGATGGTGAGAGTGACCTGGAGCAGTGGCTCTAGGGTTCCGTCGAGGGTGAGACTGGACACGACTAACACTGGCTTGTGTGGGACACCCCTTATTCTTATAAATAAGGCAACACCCTAAAGGATTCGCTCTTCCCCTTCCTAATGAAATCACTCAAGTGGTAGCTAGTGACTGAATGCGACCCTTTGTCGGGTCTCAGCACTAAGAGACAGGCATTGCGGTGAAAGGAGCTGAGGGTTCCTGTGGGGAGTAGGCTACCCCAGCTGTGGGAGCTGGTCCGCATGGAATGACCTTCCACGCCGAATTGCTTAGGGTAGAAATGGGGGGAGCAGATATCTGGCCAACTGTGGCTAGAGACTCAACTGGAACTTGCTCTGTAAAGCTCCTGGCAGACACTATAGCCCCTCCCTGGCAAGACTTTTAGCTTCTCTTTTGCTTCCTGCCTCCTAACTTTTAACCAGGCTGGCCTCAAACTCAGAGATCTGCCTTCCTGTGCCTTCCGAGTGCTGGGATTAAAGGTGGTCACCACCACCGCCCGGCTCCTTCCTCTTCTCTTTGATTTATTTTATTTTTAATTGTGTGCATGTGAATGTGTCTACATGTGGTTATTGTGCAGATGTCTGATGGCCAGAGGATTGGATCCCCCTGGGACTGCAGTCAGAGACATTTGTGAGCCATTGTGGGTGCTAGCATCCAAACCAGATTCTCTACAGGAACCTGAGTAGTCACTGAGCCACCTCCCCAGTCCACCGACTCTATAATTTTATTGACTGTCTTTTTTTTGTTGTCATTCAGAGTAAAGTCCGAGGTCCTGTTAGTGGGAGCCCAGATAGCATGAATGTGTCTCGACTTAGTCACCCTGGTCAGCTAATGTCCCAGCCGTCCAGTACCTGTGACAGCTTGCCTGACTCAGCCAAGAAAAGGTAAGCTATGTAACAGTGCCAAGTGTGATAATGTTCAAGGACACACGGGAGACTAGGCCTGGACGAGCATGCTTGTCCCCAATCACTTCCGCCCGAGGATCTTGTATGCTTCTCGTTTTCGTGTCTGCCAGGTCCTATGGACACAGGTATGTTTATAAGTCTGTTCCCATAGTCCCTTGTCGCTTGCTAACCTGTCCAAGAGTTGGATTTCAAATTGTTTAATGAGAATTTTGAAATTGTTAGTCAGGCTGTACATCGATGCTAATTGTTCTTTAAAAACCACTTCAGGTGTGCCCTCTTTGTCACACCTGGGTCCCTGGCCTTGTCCCTTCCAGGCCCCTCCATCTGGAGTGACCAGGCTGCTGTTCCCACCCAGTGCCTCCCTTCATCCTCCTTTTCACCCCTAATTTTCTTTTCTTTTCCTTTTTTTTTTTAATTTTTGCTTTATTTTCTATTTCTGTATGTGGGAGGAATGTGCCAAGGCACACCGCCAGGGTCAGAGGGCCATTTGTGGAAGCTGGTTCCCTTCTCCCCCCATGTGAACCCTGGGGATTGGACTCAAGTCACCAGACTTGGCCGCAAGTACCTTTACCTGCTGAGCCATCCCATAGGCCTTCTTTTCTCTTTCCTGGCAGACACTACAGCCCCTCCCTGGCAACACTTTTAGCTTCTCTTTCATTTCCTGCCTCCTAACTTTTAACCAAGTCTTCTGTTTACCTGGGGTGACATTATGACCAAGTCACTTGATCAGAAATCAATCGTGAGGTTTTTTTCTCCATTCTAGACAAGGTTTAAACTCTTTAAAGCATTTGCAAACACTTCAGTGTGGTTCTTGGGTTAGTCTGCTGTCTCTTACAAATGGCTTGCTCTAGTCTAGTTCACCCTGAAGCAGCAGCAGCAACAATAACAATACAGGCCCTGGGGTCCCCCTGGAGACCCTCTGAATTGGGGTGGTACCCAGCAGTTCCTTCTGACTGGTTCTGCTACACACTGGAGTATAAAGATTTGCTTACTGACAAGACAGACCCTCCTTCCTCAGATGTCCCTTGTGGTGGTTTCTACCTGCAAGGCACGCTGCTTCCCGTCCTGCACACCCACTCACGGCCCCGTCTTGGGGGTTGCTTTGTTCATCTCCACTGGCACTGTTCATTTCTTCTGCATACTGGGCCCCTTGCATGACAGGTGCTATTTTAATGCAGTGCCTGTTGGTCTAGTTGTCTTAGGCATAGGAAGGAGGTGAGTGATGGCCTACAGTGATCGTGGGGAGGGATGAACTGACTGGTAGAGGGTATAAGGTTTATTTGGGGGGTGATAAAACTTGCTGTAAGTAGTTATCAATAGTGATGGTTGTGCAGCTCTCCATATGCTGAAGCCATGAGTTGTCACAGTGTGAACAGGCAAGCTTTATAACATAAATTACATGACAATAAAGATGTTTAGGAAACTCCTATTCTTGATCCTAGGGAGTGTATAGTCTTTGGTGTTTCATCGTATGTTACTATGGAGTCTTAATTAACGCTTCCATCTCTTGTAAGCTTCTGGAGGTCAGACACAGATTCATTGACCTCTCAGCTGTCTCTGGAGCTGACATGAGCCTTTAGCCTAGCTAAGAGCTCTGTGGATATGCTCTTCTTTCCCACACAGAATGTCACGTTTGAAGGAGAAGGGAAGTCTGGGGCTCTGTCTTGGTACTTTTCCTCCAGCGGTACCCACAGTGCTCAGAAAGGTTCGGCTGTGAACAGGGGCAGGGGTAGGGGTGACCGCCCGCCTTATCTCCCTGTGTCACAGGCTGTGGTTGGAAAAGGACACATAGTTTGTTTGACTTGCCCCCGTGTCATGAAGACAGTTCATGATAGCAGACCAGTTATTCAGTCTAGATGCGCCTTCCCAGACCTTCGCAGTGTGTACACTCATTATCCCTTTCCAAACCTGTGAGCTGCTATAGCACAGTGACAGGGCCCTTGACTAGGATGTGCTCAATTCCTGTTCACTCCCCCACCCCACCCCCCAAAAAAAAACCTCAGAACACAGTTGATGGGGAACATTTTTTTTAATTTATCTATTATGTATACAGTGTTCTGCCTGCATATGTGCCTGCAGGCCAGAAGAGGGCACCAGATCTCATTACAGATGGTTGTGAGCCACCATGTGGTTGCTGGGAATTAAACTCAGGACCTCTGGAAGAGGTGCCAATGCTCTTTAACCTCTGAGCCATCTCTCCAGCCTGATGGGGAACATTTTTAGATTTCGGCACTTTGGGGAGAAATTCAGTGATATGTAAATCAAAAAGAAGTCTTGGAGCTAAAACAGCTAAGACAGCACAACAGGTAAAAGCGTTGGCTGCTATTGCAGAGGATCTGAGTGAGTTCCCAGCACCCACATGGCATTTCACAAGCGTCTGTAACGCCAATTCCAGGGGATCCAATGGCCTCTTTTGGCCTCCATGGGCACTGCATGTCCTCTATGCACAAACATACATGCAGGCAAATGCCTAAGCACATAAAACAGAAACAGATCCTTTAAAAAAAAAGGCTTTTGCTTTTTTTGCTATAGGAAGATCTGTTTACTGCTCCATATGTTCAGCCATGTTGTCTGTCTCTCATGAAATTTAAGCATCTGGGTAGGGGTTAACTAGACCCATGAAATCGCCAGCCAGCAATGCTGTGCTCTAAGACATGAGTGCTTCCTACACTGTTTTTAGAACAGTGTGCAAGTTCCTTAGCGTGTTTGAAAGCAGGAGATTTGCTCTGGTAAGATCTTGATGATCTTGTTCTGGTAATCTGACCCTTGTCTTCAGTGAGGAACTGGTGGCTGAAGCACACGCCCTCCGCACCCGGCTAGAGAGCACGCTGCAGGATACCGTGAAGGAGCAAGACCGCAGCTTCACGGTAACAACCCTCGGGGACCCCAGCTTGCCCGCTCCCTTCCTTTGTGTAGCAAAAGAGGAGAGGAGGAGGGAAAGCGACTTGGTGTCAGCCTTGGCACATACATTTTTAAGTTTTTTGTAACTATTTCATGCTTAGAAATGCCATGTGCATCCGTCATCTTATTCCTTATGAGAATTAATCTCAGTGAGGAGGCAGCGGTGTTCCCAGAAGCCCCTTCCCTATCTTTGGGACCACTGCAGAGCATCTGTTTGTGTTGGGCAGAGTACTGGGCTCCGTGACAAAAGAGGAACCTGTCATGCATAGCCTGCGGCTCAGGGACTCAGGATTTAGCCACAGGCAGTGTCAGAGAAACTGACCTGAAGAAATCTAGCTGTGATTCGGGTGCTTTCAGACAAAGCGTAAATGATGATCGGTGTCTACATGGCCTTTTCCTGCTAACACAATTGTCTGCTCCCTGCTTTCACTTCTAACATGGGGGAATCAGAAGAAACCCTGCCGCCAGTTGCCATCATCTCTAATATGCTCATGTGTCTGTCACGTGTGAGCCTCCCTAACTCCTGCTGCTTTTTACCTCCTGGTACTGTTTCTTCCATCTCACTACTTGCTTGCACTTTAACCAGAGAAAGGGGAAGCCTCATCCATTGGCATGGAAACATAGCTGAGCACCACCTTCCTGCAGATAGTGTGTGAGTGAGCTCTCTGTGTGACCTCCACGCTCCATAGGCACTGAGTTCCAGGAACTCCAGCTGGTGCCAGAACTGATGCTGATAATGTATGAACATCCTTTTAGATTGTGCTGCTTGCCTCCTGAAGAGGAAAGATGTCCATGGCCGCTGAGTATTTAATGTGCCTGTTAACTTTCAGAGTCTAGACTGGAGCTGGTTACAGATGGAGAACGACGAAAGGGGTAGCCTGGAGCAGGCCTGTGACTGAGGTTCCTATGGACTGACCCCATGCTCTGGATATGATGATGCTCGGGTGTCTCCAGCACCCAGCTGGAAATCTCACTCTCCCAGCAACTGTGACATTTGCCCTCGGCAGCCTGCTGGCCCCGTCTACACACTGGACGTCCTCTGCCACAGAAGCACAGGAAGTACCAGTTACGGGCATTCACAGCATCGACGCTTCCTAGCTGCTTCCTCTGTCCTTAAGAAGAAAGCGTTGAGTAGTTTGCCACCCAGAGCATATGGAAAATGTTTGTCCTGAGTGTTTCCAGGCAGCAGCCAAGCTGCCCCCTGTGGACCACTGCAGGGAGAGAGACCTGCCCTGCCCATCCTTCCTCACCCCACAGCTCGGGCTTCCTCTGCATCCAGAGGATCAAATCATAAGTTTGACGGTCCTGACTTTCTTCCTCTTTTCACCTCCCCACTGGTAAATATCATTTCTGCTTTCTGTGCTGCTCATTGTGGCAAATAATCTTTAACCAAGTTGTAGTGATGCCAAGATCCCTGCTGTCTCTGGTCCTCCAAGCCATAGAGTGTGCCACTTACAGAGCCAGGCAGACTGGAAATGCAGCTACCTACTCTTGAGTCTCAAAGATTACCTGGAATCAGTTGTCATGAAGAAGAAAGACAGACAAAGGGTTTGTGCCTTCTGCTACCCTACTGAACACTCTGCCACTCCTCTGTGCCTGCCAGGTGTGTGTGTGTGCATGAGTGTGCATGTGCGTGAGTTTAGGATGGGATGTTGCTGCCTCTTTCTTACATTAGCTAGGAGCATTATTAAAATGGTTTATTTTATAAATAGTTTCTATATTTTATAACATTACTCAGATATATATTCTAGTATCAAATGTGTATTTCTACAATATACCATCACTAGTTCTTGTGAGCTCAAAACTCAACACCATAGAAAATTCTGTAAAATTGAATGGAGTATGTCTAGATCATGATCATTTCAACAAAACTTGTGTTTATCTGTGCGTGCGTGCGTGTGTGTGTGTGTGTGTGTGTGTGTGTGTGTACATGCATGTATAAAAGCAAAACAGCCTCAGGTTATCATAAACAGGTTTATTTGGTTAGAAAAGAAACAAACTGGGAACAGGAATTTCAAAGTGGCTACCACAGAGTCGGTATGAAGCATCAATGGTCAAGTGTTCAGAAGGGACTTCGTACTTTGATTGCTTCGTAGAGAGTCAAACTGTACACTGGTAAACTATCTGAAAACTCATAATAAAGACCCTGGCTTAAACTTAATGTAAACTGATCCTTGAGTAATGTCATTTGACCATAGAGCCCCGCCCCTCCTGTGTGCTCAAGGTCTACTAACACCCAGAAGTACTGGAGTCAAGAAAACATGATTTTAGAACTCCTGGAAAGGGCATAGTGGGAATAAGACCAGAAAGGCTGGGAGGAGATTGGGAAGGGAATGAATGTTGGGCTAAGAGCTGTGGTTTAATAAACAGTCGGGAGTAATGGAAAAACTTTATGCAAGAAAATGACATTAACCCAAAGCACTAATTTGGAAAGATTGTCACTAGACCTTCGTAATTTATGACAAGGTGAAATTCAAGGCTTATTTTTGTTTCTACAAAAAATGAATGTCTTAGTTTGTGTTTCTATTGCTGTGATGAAACACCACGATCAAAAAGCAAGTAGGGGAGGAAAGAGTTTATTTGCCTTACAATTCTACATCACAGTTCATCATCAAAGGAAGTCAGGGCAGGAATCTGGAGGCAGGAGCTGATGCAGAGGTCATGGAGGGGTTTTCATTACTGGCTTGTTCCCCGGGACTTACTCAGCCTGCTTTCTTATAGAACCTAAGATCACCTACCCAGGCCTGGCCTCACCCACAATGGGCTGGTCCCTCTTCTGTCAATCACTAATTAAGAAAATGTCCTACAACCTGATCTTATGGAGGCATCTTCTCAATTGAGGTTCCCTATGTTCAGATAACTCTAGCTTGAGTTAAGTTAGCTAGCCAGGACCATAAAATAAATACATTTTTCCCCTTCTGAGTACAGGTGAAATTCTGGAACACTGCCTTAAATGAATCAGAGAGGGCAGACTAAGCCAGGATCTGAAGACTGACAATGACTGTGAGTTCCTCGGGGGCCTGTTCTAAGCCAACTAGTGGAGTCCCACAAAAAAAATAAATAAATAAAACCCCAGGGAAAAAACTTTCTCTCTCCAACTATAACGAATGACATAGCTAAAATAAATTTATTCTTAACGTGTAAGGCAAGAAATTGAAATCTAGATTTCAGCAAGACTGTACTTCCCCTAAAGGTTTGGGAAGGGAACCTTTGCCGTCCTCGTCCCATTGAGTTATTATTTCCAGATAAGCCTCAGCTTGGGTTAGCATCTCTTCTTAGGGGTCATTGGATCACCTACTTTTCTCTCATTTTGAGGCCAGCCTGGTCTACAGAGTGAGTTCCAGGAGAGCCAGGGCTACACAGAGAAACTCTTGGGGAAAAAAAGTGTTCAATATCCCTAGTCATCAGGGAAATGCAACTAAAACTGCTTTGAGACCTGCCTTACCCCAGTTAGAACGGCAAGCATCGGGAAGTCTTATAACATGTGTTGAAGAGGATGCGGTGAAAGAGGAACCCTTATTCATGGCTGACAGGGGTGCAAACTAACACAGCCATCATGGAAATGAGCGGTTCCTCAAAGATTAAAACTGGAACTATATGACACAGCATTTCACTCCTAGGCTTATACTCAAAGACTCCCACACCCACACCTCGAGATATCTGCATGCCCATTTTTGTTGCTGCTTCGTTTACTATAGCAGGGAACTGGAACAAACCCAGATGTCTATCAACAGATGAATGGATAATAAAAATCTGGTACATATATAAAGTGGGATATTATTCCTCTCTATAGAAAAATGAAATCACAAGCTTCGAGAAAATGGATGGGTTTAGAATGTATAATATTAAGGGAGGATACACAGCCATACAACCTCAAAAGGAAAACAGGCTGCATGTTCTACTTGATGTGTATTCTGGCCTCTAAAGCATCTGGATATACAAATGTACACCTGGGTATAGGGCAACGTTTAGGAAGGAGAGCAAGAAAGATATTAAGCAATGAGGATGTGATGCAGGAAAAAGACGGATAAGGTCGGACGAGAGGATGGGTAGAAAGCGACTTGCTGTTCTGGTTGGATGGATAGAAAGCAACTTGCTGTTCTGGTTTTACCACCCACCCTGTCTTTCCTGCCAATCCTCACATCTCTGTCCCAGTGAACTTGTTCCAGTTTGCGCAGAACTTTGTAGCTGATGCTTTGGGATGGGCTTTCCTGCTTCTACAGGGACTCCACCCCAGTTGTTATCCTCATGCCCCCCTCATCTTCACCATGACTCTGCATGGTCCCTTTTATGAGAGAGGTATTTTTTAAACATTCTCTCTAAACCAGGGGTTCCCAGTCTTCCTAATGCTGTGACCCTCAAATACAGCTCCTCATGTTGTGGTGACCCCCAACTATAAAATTATTTTTGTTGCTACTTCATAACTAATTTTGCTACCGTTATGAATTATAATGTAAGTGTCTGTGTCTTCCAATGGTCTTCAGTGACCCCTGTGAAAATGTTTGACCCCAGAGGGGCCGCGGCCCACAGGTTGAGAACCAGTGCTCTCACTGGACCCTGTCTCTCACTGCCCAAAGGCTGTCCTATTTCCTTGTTTAGTTTTGTTTATTCCTGCAGTGTTGTGGGTGCACAGTGTTGAGGACCTCATTTCTGCTAAGCATGCACTCTCACAGAGAATCACTCATATTCTTGACCCGTTTTCAGGCCACGTCATCACTCCCTGTCAAGGAAAGTGCTCACGACTTGACTTGCCATTACTGTGTATCCCACACCCAAAGCAGTGCCCTGTCCTTCGTAATAAAAGTAAATCTAAAGCATTTCTGTATTATGAAAATAATAATAATGCGTTGATGGGCCTGGTGGTCCCAGCACCCACGAGACTGAGGCAGGAGGATTTCTGTGAGTTCGAAATCTACATATTGCAGTCTGGACTACATAGAGACATCCCATCTCAGAACAAAATAAAAGCTAAAACTCAACAAGCCACAACAACAATTATGGAAATTTTAAAGTTAGGATTGGGGCAGAAAATAAAAGTGTATGTTCCAAAATGCTAATAATGGCTAAGCTGGAGGACAACTGATTTTAATTTTCCTTTCCTTCTCTTTTCAGATTTACTTACACTAGTATGTACCATAACAATTTTAACTTTGTGCTCAAATCACTCGCTGCAATTGCAGTTACTATGAACCCCATGAGGTACACTTACAAATATAGCGCAGGTGTTATATTTCAATTCTAGCAAATTGTAAGGTTTTCGCATATAAGCTGTGTGGTATGAGGAGGGCTCCTTGCTGATCATCCAGGTCAGACACTTCCTGTGGTCTTTTCGTAACTTTAGCTCCTCCCACAAAAGGCATGGGTATTTAATAAGACAAAACACATCTCCAGCCATTGGTTGACCAAGTTTTGGTTGGCATATTTCATTTCCTGTTTTACCCGGTGCCCAAGAGCACAGAGCAGCTCTTGGATCCTGACAGCCGACCTGGTGCTGGCAGTCCTCACATAAAGTACAGGCCATGCCTTCCCCGGCTGTTGCCCACAGGAGCCGACGTCCACCGCCTTCTGCACCTCGGGCTCTAAAACGGACCACTCTCCTACCCGGAGGGCAGATTTGATCTCAGGTTAACCCACTAAAGGGGTAACTCTGACCTCCCCACTCCCCGCCGCCGCCCCGGACTCCCTGCTTCTGCCCCGGCGCCCGCTAAGCCCCGCCCCTCCTGGCGCGTGACGTCACCGCGCTGCGCACTGTCAGGAGCCGCCATTGTCCCACCGGTGGCTCCCAGGTGCGGGTTCCCGGCGCCATGAGCAAACGCAAGGCGCCGCAGGAGACCCTCAACGGCGGCATCACAGACATGCTCGTGGGTGAGTCCCGGGCCTCCCTCCGGTGCCTCTCCTCAGCCGGGCCTCGCTGCTGTCTCCCTGGTCGCAGCCGCAGCGTCCGTGCCGGCCACGTCCGTCCCGGGAGGAACCCACCCACACCCCCTTCCCGGGACCGCCGTTCCCGGCTGTGCGCCTGTTTACTCGAGCTCTTTGTTGTCTTTTTCAGAACTCGCAAACTTTGAGAAGAACGTGAGCCAGGCAATCCACAAGTACAACGCGTACAGGTACGTTGTAAGCTGGCGCTCCTGGCTGAGGTAGTCTTTTAGCAGGGATGGGGTGACGGGTGTCCAGGGGACTTTTTGGACGATCAGAGGGAGGTTTTAAAAAACGAAAAACCGAGTGGCACTTTACTTAACATGTACAGAATTTTGACTGAGCCTTATAGGGTTTACTCTGATACGTATATTCTCACCTTTATCTTGAATGACTGGAAATATAACGTGGCTTTAAAACAATGAACAGCTGCAGATGAGCTCTGTCTTATGGAATAGATGTGACCGGCACTCGGGAGGCAGAGGCAGTCGGATCTATAAGTTCGAGGCCATTTTGGGCTGCAGAGCAAGTTCCAGAACAGCCAGGGCTACACGGGAAAACACTGTCTCAAGCAAAGCAAAACAAAAAAAGAAATAGCTGTGGTTCAAGAAATCACGTTTGTTCTGTTTGGACTATGACTGATCCTGTCACCTTCTGAAAACCATTGCCATCCCCACAGACCTCAGCAGGCACCCTCTGAGGTACCTAGCCTGTATCCCCAGTCACCTACTTCTCCGATGTCAGCTACTTAGCCTATAAACATGCCCAAAGCCCTCGGCTTTCAAAACAAACCATCCTCATTTTCCCAAGCTAGCTCTTACCGCCTTACAATTAGTGTGCGTTAGTAGTCTATCCCATGCCTGAATTTACTCAGGAGTCATTCTTTATTAGTATTATATCTGCTATTCATTTTACTTTTGAGATTATTATTACATCATTTCCTCTTTCCTTTTCTACCTCCAAACCCTTCCATAGATAACCTTGATCTCTTTAAAATTCATGGCCTCCTTTTTTATTAATAATTGTTATAACTGTACATATTTGCATATACATATATATTTCTAAATACATAAATATAACCTATTCAGTCCATATAATGTTATTTGTAGGTATGGTTTCAGGGCTGACCATTTGGTCTTAGATAACTGATTAGTGTACTCTTCTCTGGGGAAGACTATTGCTCTGCTCTCAGCTCTCCTTCATGTCCTGTGTAGGGCTGAGGTCTTGACCACATTGGCGTCTCTATTATTTTCATCCTTGTTCAGCTCATGTTTAGGCAGTCA